GGTGAGAGAATAGAGAAGATTTATTGATTTCTATAATAAAAAAGGAGGAAATAAAAGGTTGTAAAAGAAGTGCATACTACTTCCTGTCCTGTCCCTTTCTCTCCGCTCTCATTCAATCGCTTATATTTTCCCAAGGAACAATGGGGCATTGACTGCAACTGCAATAAAAAAAGTGCAGCTTCTTGGTGTATTTTATAAGGGAAAGAGTTTTCCCTTCCTTGATAATAAATGGATTTCTTTCCCCTCGGACCTGGCCCAGCTTTGGAGATGCCATCTTCAACCAAGATCTCAATAAATTATCATCTCTTACAGGAAAGAAATCACCCAAAATGGATAAAATGTCACGGTAATGGCCACCTCATCACGCGTCACGGTATCAATATCATGTGTACCATGTCACGTTAAATGTAATCAGCAGAGGGCGGATATGTATTTATTTTCAAGTTTTTCATTTGATCACGACCGAGGGTCAAAGTTTATGGGTGTGTTCCATAATTCCCATAGAACACAAAAATTTCAAAATGTTTCTACATATTTTTACTTTATTTCTAGGTTTTCAGACGTTATAAACGTATTTCTAAATATGTTAGCGGAAATATTCCGCGTAAATATTCTGATAAAATATATTTAATATCTAAAATATAACTGTTATGGGAAAGGGATTATGCAAAGTGACCGGAGACGTATTTCGTGCTTTACCTTTCAATTCTTAAGTACTCCGTAACGATCACTATTTCAATTTCTGGTGTAAAAATGGTACAAATTTGTATTTACAAAAATTTGTTTTGCGTAAATATTTTAGATATTTTTTTCAGAAATGCATACATTTTGTAAACATTTAAACGATACAAGGCGAAATTTTTGAGGCAAATTAAGAAGAAATTGGATCATAAAAAATCCAGAGAATTTGTATTGAAACAAAAATTTTTGCGAGAATTTTTATTTTTATAATTTTTTCTTACATATTTCGTAAATATTAATGCATTTTTCGTAAATAAACTTTATTTCATACATATTTCAGCTATTCTTCGTAAAATGTGCATATCCGCCCTCTGGTATCTCATCATAATCGTGAGAAAAAATCTGGAATCTCACTTTCTTCATTTTTTGGGTGATAACCATATGTCATCATCATCATCACGTGAAGTGACACGAGTGCAAAAAGTTCCATGTCATCCGATGTAAGAATGTGACGACGTGTTGCATCTTTTCGACAGAAAACAAGACAACATCTTATGTATGAGTCACTGAATTATTATTCTAATTTTATGATGCTTTTCAAAATTTCACCCCTGGTTTATGTAGAAAAACTTGGGTGACAAGATGCCACGACGGGGAGAAAGTGGGTGCATACTTGCAGTTAGATTGTGTTTACTCAGGCGGACGGAGATCAATCACAGCAAACCCTTCGTCTTCCTCTTGTCACGTATGATTTTCATATCTTCCATATTTATCACGACATATTGTTGTAAATACGATGTTAAGACGATCAAATTTTTTGTGAAAAGATAAATTTTTGTAAATACAAATTTTGTAGCATTTTTACGCCAGAAATGGAAATAGTGATCGTGACGGATTACTTAAGAATTGAAAGGTATATCCTGAGTGCATTTTGTCATAATTGTAAAAAAATACTGATGAGAACTGATTAATGAGAACTAGAATCGTAATTAGTCGCAAATATTGCAGCATTTCAACTGTAGTATTATAAATTTCAACAATAGTGATTAACCTAATGTCCACCTTTTCAAATGTGTACGTTCATTACTAATGAGTGTCATTATATTATTCTTATTTTTTAATCCCTGACCAAATTTCGCGATCTATTTTTTGCAAAATTTTGAACAAGTCTCTTCTTTATTTTTAATCCACACTATTTTTAACTACGATTTCCCTAACTTTCTCCTTCTCCTTAGAACCCTGTGACATTGACTCTGACACTATTATATTAATCGTTTAAGTAACAGTAAGCTCGTAATTGTATGTCCTTGTCCATGTATTTAAAGACGCAAACATGCAACCCTGCATTTATTATAAATATTTAAATATCGAAGAAAGCTCGTATTTCCGTTAATTTTTTTTTTACACGCTGCAATAATTCAGAGAGAAAGACCATGAAAAAGAGACAAGACGAAGTTGTAACTAGAAACACTGCATCCGATCCCAGATGTGAAAAATGTAATGAATGAAGACGCACAAAAGCAGTGTTTCTCTTTTTCTTTCTCTCGACTTTTTTAATTTCTTTCGCCTTTCTCCATCTTCTCCGTCTTATTTATGCACTGCCTGCATCCTGATTCTCTGAACACACACTCACTAACTCACCAGTGGCCAGTGGCCGCGGAAGGTGTCGGGACATTAACATTGTGGGATAGGGGAGGGAGGGGTTCGTATAACATGGGCAGATGATGGGGACATCGAATAACCGTGGGGACATTGTCCCTCTGTCCCCTCAATTTTCCGCGGCCACTGCACGCCGCTCCCACTTTTAGCTAGGATATTATGTTACTACAATGAAAAAAAGATGAAACGAACCAGATGTGCCTGCTTTATTACATGTACGAGACTCTCCATTTGAATATCTCATTTGCGGTCGTGCTCTAAAGTTGAGCCCAAAATATCCATTTGCAATATTTGCCACCGAGCTGTTCATTCTTTAGGAAGAAGATAACATGGGAGTGAAGTGAACTATAATGTGACGACACGACGTAGTGGAACTTTATAAAGGAAATGAAACAGAAAACACATGAGAACTTGAGCCTCAATTACGATTATGCATGCACAAGTGCTGACTACTTTTATTCTTCGAGAGACAGCCAGTAGCACAAACTGGGTAAAAGTACACACATTTTTGTTTTGTAGGCCCATCTCGAAGTCCTGCCGGATGATACGCCATTGTTTTTGCGACGAAAAGACAACTTATGCTTTCTCTATCATCCATTTTTTAAATAAAGTTAGAATAACGGCTACGACGTAGAGTAGAGGTTCAAGCAGCCCATTCTTATAGTTCACAATTTTATGAGATGGATTCTTTGTATTTTATTTTGCGGACAGCATAAATCATCAATTAATTGTACTTTCTCCACGCGGATTAATATGTAATCAGGGTTTTAGTTGCGAGTAACCACGTGCAAGAAATAAAGGGGAGAAAGTGGTTTTTTGCAGGAATTTTGACCTGCAAGAAATGCAAGGTGCAAGAAACTATGCCATTTTATACGGCGAGTTGCTAGATAGGGCATATTTCTCGCACTTTCTCCCAGTTTCTTGCACCTCGCATTTCTTGCGTTTTTTGCTTTACTGTGCAAGAAATGTAGCAAACTCGTAATAAACGAAACACTGTAATTGTCAGGAAATTATTTAAACTTAAAATCTTGAAATTTTTTTTGGCTCACAAATATCGCCGTAGGCTCTAGCTTCACTTCATTCAGCTCAACTTTTGATCTAAATCTCAAAGGGCAGTAGTCAGTCTTCTTCTTGAACATGTTCCTCAAACTGAAGGAGCGGCATATGCAGCTATATTATATTGCTGTTCGTGTTATATAAAGAAGATTTGTTTTCCCCTTAGGAGGGGAGCTTGCGAGGTTGATAATAACAGATCTTGGTGCCCTTTGGATATGTGGTAGGGACCCATGAGTGTACTAAAACCCTGAAGTAGTTTGACTCCATGGCCACATTTGCGCCCGCCACACCCACTCAAAAATGTCCAAAAAACGCTTTCACTCGAGTTTTCACTCACTCAAATCCACGTCAAAAATCCAATTTTACTCGGATTTTGAAATTTCTTTCACCATTATACTCCCAGATAGTTGCTTTCTTCAATCCAATATCAAACTCAATTTTATTGATGATTATTTCGCAAACATAATTTGTTTTGTTGATGACTACAACAATGCTCATTCAGAATTTTAAATTTTAAAAATACTAAAAATTTCGAAAAAATTGAGTTTGATATTGGATTGAAGAAAGCAACTATCTGGGAGTATAATGGTGAAAGAAATTTCAAAATCCGAGTAAAATTGGATTTTTGGCGTGGATTTGAGTGAGTGAAAACTGGGGTGAAAGCGTTTTTTGGACATTTTTGAGTGGGTGTGGCGGGCGCAAATGTGGCCATGGAGTCAAACTACTTCAGGGTTTTAGTACACTCATGGGTCCCTACCACATATCCAAAGGGCACCAATATCTGTTATTATCAACCTCGCAAGCTCCCCTCCTTAGTGGCGAACTGGGAGTGAAGTTGAGTGGATTCATCAGCGAAATTAATTGAAAGTCGGAGTGCATACGAAAAGCTTGTGTGCTGCATGATCACTTATTTCTCGACGAGTTTGAGAATTATGTTCGAGTTGAGATAAAGTTTGGTGAGGAGTTTACTTGCTTTCAGTGGCCACGGAAGCTGTGGGGACTGCTGGGGACATTAACATTGTAGGATAGGGGAGGGAGTGGTTCATATAACGTTGGAAGATGATACGAACATCGAATAACCGTCCCCACGCTTCCGCGGTCACTGCTTACTTTCACTTATTTTATATACTCTCGAATGAAATTACCCAAACTTAATCGTGAAAACAAAACACAAAATGCATCCGGAAAGAGCAGCGAATTAGGAATCAAAATCATTCCATTAAAGGGAGATACATACACATATTTACTGAATGCCTGAATGAGTTGATGAATTCGCTTTGATTCTTTAATTTTCTTTCAGGACGAAAGTTGTCTTTGAATTTAGAGTAAAAACAAGCAACCTAATCGTCAGGCTGGGCTGAGGATGAGCTCAAAAGATTTATTCCTTTCAAGTACGAAATGTGAAAAGTTTATCCATTTAAACGAGAAAGAGTTTTCTTAACGAAATCCTTAATTAATGGTTTCAAAGTTGATTAAATATTTACTAACTTAAACCATGAATGAGTGGTAATACTATTTAGAAAAGTAAAATATTGCAAATTTATCAAATTTTGCATATTTGTTAATTAATACAGTTTATAAATATGCACCTATTAAATCCTATTGAAGTGAAATGAAATGTGTAAGGTGTTCTGGACTTCGGGGAGGTTACATGGATAAAATGTTCGATGTGGAGAATATGGTGGAAATGAGTTATCGAATATTCAGAAATGAAATTTATCGGGATTACTTGAACCTGGTAAGTTAATTTCATACGTTTAATAGTCGGATTAGTGAGATTATATTTTTTACCACGTTTAATATTTTGCATATCTTATTTGCAGTGGAAAAGATTTTTAAATTACATGGAGCTTTCCTTCTTCAATCTAAATTCAATGGAGAGATCAAACCAAGTGGGGAAAAACACTACGACTTGGGTAAAGTAATTTAACACACCTTTTTGTTACCCTATTGTACGATCTAGAACGCATAATGTCTTTTTGACAAAGTGTCAAAAATCATTTTGGACGTCAAACATGTCCAAAAGTGTCCAACATTTAAAAATGGGGCAAAATCGATGTTTGAGCGATGACGGGCTTTTTCTTTTGCACACGATTGGCAATAACCACCCACACATGCCAGGAACCTTTCTTCACGACATATATTTTCCCCAATAGCTACATTCCTTACACTCGCGACATTACCAAATTCACGGAAGGGCTTTACTTAATAGAAGATTTCCATAATTTTGGTCACGATTACAGTAAAGCTTTGATCGCTTGGAAAAAAAAATCGACAGGAATTGGTGGAAAATTGAGAAAAAGTATGGGGATCGATTCTATCGGATGTGGACATGGAATAAATATGATGCATATACATATCTTGGACTAATTAATTAATTTGATTTAGTCATCTTTATGTATATTGCATTATTTTAGTCTACCTCCAATCCAGTGCTGGTGCTTTCATGGCGAGGCAACTTCAGGTCTGGCAAATCGTCTTATCTAAAAGCTGTGGAGTTCCTGGAGGATACCGTTCTGTCCGGTGAACCCTTAAACCGAAAAGTTATGGCGTTTAGCAGGAGTGAGAATAAATACTCCGTGATATTTAAGTAATTAAAACAGACTGTACTTAAAAATATCTAAATAAATGATAATAAAGCACCAACAAATTTATTCATTATCTTGTCCGATTTGTACGTCAAAATATGTTTATTGGCTTGTACATAAGTACTTTACATATACGCTATACCATACTCGCCATGTCTCATGCAGAAATCCAAGGAACTAGCTTAATGAATTTTCTCCAGTACAAAGCTTTCTCCTTAATCCCATAATTTTAAATAAATTACTTGCATTAAAAAATATTCAAAACTGGTAAAAATTATTGAAAAGTGATTTTAATACAGCTTTTGTTTTTAGACTAACACCCAAAACTGCAATATTTTATACCCAAATACTTAACAGCTTTTAACCGGAAACATTAAACTGACCTACCAAACCCACGAGATGAAACTGTTGAAAGCTTATTTCAATAATTATTGGTCTGTATGCTCTTCCATACATACACAATCTCAAAACATTTAATACTATACATATTTTCCAATTTTCCACCCACCCATAACCCTGCCCACGAAAATCCCATAAAATTCTATACCTTCATGAAAACATATCCTCAACGAAATATTATAGCATAGCCTCTTAGAAAATACTTTCTCCGCCGCCAAGTGAAACGACTAGACTGGACAACTATTAAATTTCGGATAACGTTTATGATAACGGTAATCACCAATGTAATTCAGTTCACCACCACTCCTCCAGCTATTTAATTTCTTGACTAATCTTTCCTGTTGGAAGCAAACTGATTCCAGACTTGCTGAAATTGTTGGCCAGATAAGGAGGCGAATATTACTTTATATATGTGAAGGAAATGGGAAACTTTCGTACTGTTTCCTCGGGTATAGTTTAAGGATGGAGGAAATGGAATGGACGATTGAAATAAATTTAATGGACACGTTCAACACAAGGCGACCATGTGAGGAACGTGTTTAAAATCGAAACACAGGACAAAATCTCTCCCAAAAGTCTACACGTGCCGACTAAATCTATAAAGTACCGACTACTAAATAGACCAATGAATTTGTTTATTATTTTGACCGATTACGCCAAACTATGTTTATTAGCTTGTGTGTATGTAAGTACTTTACATTTTACAACACGTTGATATCTTCAAAGGTAAAGTTATTATTAGTAAGAAGAAGCAAATTGGGCTTATGCCACACTCGCCATTTCTCGCTCAGAGATCCAACCCAACTTTCTCCAGCACCAACCAGGCTTTCTCCTTAATTCCTTAATTTCGTATTCAAAAAGGGAATTGCAGAACATCAAAAATCTATTTGGCTTGACTTACTCGTAATCTATTTCAATAGCTCAACTCTGCAAAGAAAAATGGAATGGAACACGTGGCAGGCAGCTAAGGAGAAAGAACCATCATCTGAGGGAGAAAGTGAAAGTTGGGCGTTCTACTCGCTTGGTTGGCAAGTTTCTCGAAATTCTTTTGCTCACTGCTTGCTTGTGGCTCACACCCTTTTCATGCACGCGAAATGCCAATTCTTCCACTTTTCTCAGAAGGTGTAATGACCGTCATTACGGTTTACAGCGTAATTTAGGAGAATCAAATAATTAATCGGATAAAATACTGCATTTACCGGTTCACCCCGCCCGGTATTAAATTCCAAGAAAGTATTACTATTTACAAATTTTTGCATTTCTTTTATGTACATAGCTCGCGAAAGTTTGGAGTTTTTGAGCAAAATAAAGTTTTGTTGGGATGGGCGAATCCTTAGATTACAAAAGATCCGAGAAATTTCTCAACGTCAAGGGAGGAAAAGTTTTCATATCAAAACAACTGCTTCTTACAGAAGGAGGTCTCCCAACGTGTACTCATAGATTTTGAGCGAACCAGTGCCAATCTATCGCAAATTTAAGTGATATGAAATTTGCAAAAGACACGTCTCCCAATTGTCACGTTTGGCAGAGATATTTGCATCCAAAGAGAAGAAAACGGGCTTTAAAATTCTCAAATTTACTGTGCGTTTTCTTCTCTTCGGATGCAAATATCTCCGCCAAACGTGCGCATTGGGAGATCATGTCTTTTGCAAACTTCCTACAAATTAAATTTGTGATCGATTGACACTAATTTGCCCAAAATCTGCGAGCATACGCTGGGAGACCTCCATTCCCAGTTTCCGTATAGTTGGTTTACGGACGAATTTGGCGAGAGAAAGCCGGAGACAAATTACATCAGGAATTACACACTTTCCAAAGTCTCAAGAGGTGTGAGATGTTGTCCCAAAGTAGCAATCCATGTTTCCTTATTACCCATTGCACCTCCTCCTCCAGTGCTGAAGCGAAGCCCAATTTTCCGTATATCTTCATATTATACTTTCCCCAGATCAGCAATCACCTCGCTCCTCAAAGTTTAGAAAATGTGGAAAATTTTCACCGTTTCATAGACAAGATGTACGCACATCTTACTTGCTTTGTGTACCCAAGTATCGGATCTGTCACGGCATTATTTGCGTCAGAAAAACACAATGCGATCATCGTGTGTTGTGTTCCTCTTCTAGAAAACGGGATTTTTGACGAGAAGAAGGGACGACAATCAGATTCAAGAGGGGAGGAATGAGATTGAATACCGACGAAGAATCGAGATGAATCGATATACGTCCCCCATTTCCCATCAGATGAATTATCATTCTATTTCAGTCTCGAAGCAATGGAGATATTCGAAAAATCCACACCACGAAAATATAGGAGGGTGAATCCTGTGGAGAGAATGTGTCCTGCCTAGCTATCTTCTGTCCGCATATAAATGCTCCGAATATTTGACGCTTTTATTTTATTGGAGGGTGCAACACCAATACAGCGACGTGGTGCCAAGAAAGCTTATAAAAGCCAGAAATCTCTGCCTGCCGTTCTGTGGTAAATAAATATGTCTTTGTCCATATGCCAGATTTCGACTTTCAAATAATATCAGTCCAAAGCAATTGGCAATATGCTCAAGCTGAACGAACGGGAGGGATGGATCGTAAGAATGAAATGCAAAAATAAATAAAAATAAACGACAAAAACAAGAAGACGTTGGGCTTGCTTTCATCAAAACCAACCAAGACCATTAAGGAAACCTATGCACATACATAGGTTTCCTATGTGAATACATAAGCACTAATGGGAAATGGATAGTATGAAATGAAGTGGTAGTAAATGACAGAGATCATTATCGCTGGGGGAAAGTGAGGAAGAAAGAAGAAGACGTCCTGTTGTTATCTCACGTTTATCCACTCCCCTCTAGACCACATAGAGTTATCTTATCTCTCCCCAAGAATTACTACAGACAATGATCTGTATTATGTAGTTATCATACGACTTTCATTCTCAAATATTATCAGTATTACAAAATCTTAGTAACTGTTTGAGACAACGATGATTCGACATAATGATGGCAAACTAAAAAATAGGTGTAAGTAATATCTCTGCAAATATTTTCGCACAGTCTCTAAATTTTAACTACTTTTAATAAAAATCTTTTATGTATTTAGAATTTTCAAAAAATTCGGAATACGCATGAAATACAATTTTGAAAAAGCTTATTAGTTTCGAAATTGCAATGGGGAGAAAATTGATGGAAATATAAATGTGTAAGACCACAACGCCGAGAGTATTTAATCATACAAAAATTATTTGTTGGTTAGATATTTTCAGATAAATTGAACCCCTGCATTGCAGTTCAATGGAAAGTGAAGGATTCAGAGTACCCCATCATGTTAAAAATACGGCGCATTTAATCCAATTTAAATTTAGAGCACATGTAAATAAATATGAAATACGTGTTTTTTTACAATTTTGTAATATTTCTACTTTAATTGTCGGATTGCAGTAAAAATTAGATTTTGTTAAGTTGGAGAAAGCAGAACAATTTATTATCAAGGTAAGACGATATTTCGTGCTTAATATTTTTGCATAAATACAAATTTTCTAGGTTTGTGACGAAGACGATTGACGTGAGTTTACTTTCAGTTTGATTGATTTCCTGATTTTCGACATGGAAGCACGGGTAGAATATATATCTGCGGTGTGTAATTGCACCTATAACTGCTTGGAGGTGACAGATTCTTTTGTGCTTTTTGGAACCAACAAGGCTCTTGCGATTTACGATTTGGATGTAAGTTATTGATTACATTACAGGCTGTAATTTACAGCCATATTTAATTGCATATTAAATACCGAATTTGACTGGGATTCTTTTCTATATTCTTACCAGGAGGAGAAAGTAACGTCAACCTATTTTTGCCATGAAGGGAGGGTTAACTGCGTTCGATTCGTGAAAACCGTGTACGCCAAGTTATATAATCTTTAAGTCAGAAACTTAACTGAAAGTAACTTGCTTTCTAAATTTTGATTATTGTTAGTTCACAGCCATTCGAGTTTGTCGTTAGTTGCTGCGCCGGTGGACGGCTAATTCTTCTGGAAAATTGTGAAACACCAAGTTCTAAGAAGGATGTTTTCAAATACAAACCGTTAGTTACCCAGCAAGTGAATGGACGCTGTAATACGGTCTGCGATGGAATACAACTTGAAGATGGGACTTTTATTTTGGGGTGCATTACAGCTGAATCTGAAATTTTCATGTATTCAACGAATCAGACGGGTAAATATTTGTATATTTGTAAATATTGTTGTTATTATAAGCTAACCATGACCAATTTGCTTTTGCAGGCTCGGAATTGGTACTCCTGCAAGAAATTCGCCTTAATAGATCACTGGCGAACGATTTGGCATTCCATGCCTTTGAAGATGGAAATATTATCCTAGCACTTGCAATGGACACGGGGGCAGTTGCTTTATATGACTTGGATAAGAGTAATTGTACAGATAATTTGTTCAAGTTCGTGCCTGTGTTAACTTTACAAAAACATGAGGACTGGGTCAGATGTCTGGATTTTGTGACATTGGGTATTACATAACGTTCAACAATATGATAAATTGCAATAATTTACAATTAATTAAAGATTATAATTAGAAACTGGCGATACCTTATTGGCAACTGGAGGGCAAGATTCGTTTATCGCTGTGTGGAAATTTTCCAAGTCGAAATCAGACCAAAGCAGTTTTGAATTCCAAGTACATCAGTACAAAGACTATAACGTTGTATTTGACTCGATGATTATCGGCCACGAAGGCTGGATTAACTCGTTGCATTGGAACTTTGAAGGTACATATATCGTATTTCAAAACACTACGATTAAAAGTGCTTTGGTTCATTCAACTAATTTTATACTTGTCACTATACAGGGGAACTATTATCATGTTCCAGTGACCAATCCATAATCATTTGGGAAAATTTGGGCGACATTTGGATGGAAAAAGATAGACTAGGAGTAACTGGTGGGATGGTACCTGGCGGATGCTGCGCAAAATATTTCAGTAATCGAGTTGTTAGCTCAGGATTTCAAGGCGCTGTTCAAATTTGGAATTATGTCGAGGTAGTAGTTTTGTATTTAGTATTTATGCAGTATAAATATGTGGCTTACATTATTTATTAATTTGTACAGTCACAATGGCAGCTTCGACCAAGCATTACAGGTCACTTTCGTCCAATTTCTGACATGGATTATGACTGCCACGGTAATTATGTTGTAACCACGAGTGAAGACCAAACCACTCGGATCCACGCCCCTTGGGGAAAAACTCGTTGGCATGAAATATCTCGACCTCAGATTCACGGTCATGATTTATTCGCCTGTCGAACTATAGGAGAAATGATAGTTAGTGGGGCAGAGGAAAAAATTTTGAGGGCGTTCCAGCCAACGGAAATATTTTACACAAATTTGCAAGACGCGAGTGGGATTCGAGTGGAACATGCAAATGGTGATACACATTTAAAATCTAAGAAAAATACATGTTAAATGAACTAGAAATTACTTGTTGTTTTCGAAAAGCTGCAAAAGCCGCTTTCTTGCCTTCTTTGGGATTGTCTAACATAACCGAGGACACTCAAACTGCTGCCATTTCGTTGGATCTTCCTCTGGAAAGCAGACTGGATGAAGACTTTATTCGATCGCAAACTCTTTGGTTGGAAGTGTCAAAGTTATACGGCCATGTGTTTGAAATTGCATGCATTGCTACATCTCCGGTTGATCCGCTGATTGCAAGTGCTTCACAGGCGACAAAGCATCAATTTGCAGCAATTATTTTATGGTAACGTGCTTTTTCGAGTTTTTCATTTATTCTTGCTACAATATCAACAAATATTGTGTTATATTCGTTAGGTGCTCAAAACGATGGAAAAATCTGGGAGAATTTCCGCACCATAAACTTAACGTTACTGGAATGGAATTTAGTCCTGACGGGTCTCGCCTCTTATCAGTATCACGTGACCGGACATGGGTAGTTTGGAAAGTTATGAAAACAGAGGCAGATGATTTTAAAATTGAAATGATTGACAATGGTTCAATTCACACTCGTGCACTTTGGGTTGGGACTTGGAGCCCAAGGAGTAATTTCTTTGTCACTGGAGCTCGGGACAAGAAATTAATAATTTGGGGCTGCACCAACAAAGATGGGTGGGTAACCTAACTTACAATTGTTAAACTTTGCATAGTTATTATTTAACGTCTGGACTTTTTAGCCCGAGTCAGGGCTTATGGAACCGTCATGTCCGTCCGTCTGTCTGTCTGTCTGTCTGTCCGGCACGATAGAGCCAAAACGGCTGAACCGATTGACCTGAAATTTTTACCATACACATATTGGACAAAGTTAGGAAACGAGTTCGAAGATGGGCGTGATCGGTCCAGTGGTTGACCGGTGGGGGTCATCGGAGTGGGTGGGGTACTATGTACCAAAATTTCAAAATTGTTGTAGAGAGCTGAAATTTGGTACAGAGGTTGCTAATGGCTCCTAATAGATAAAAATGACTTCCAGTTGGAAAAATTTTCATCTTGAGTGACCCTATCGGGTGACCCATACCGATTTTTCAAAACCATCATATCCAACTGAAATTTGGTGGAGAGGTTGCTTATGGGTTTTAATGAAAGAATATGAGATGATATTGGTAAAATTTTTATCTGGAGCGACCCTATGGGGTGATCCATACCGATTTTTAGAAATTGCTTTAAAAAGTTGAAATCCGGCACAATTATACTTAATGGCTTCTAATTAAAGAATATGAAGTTAAAAGTGAGCAAAGTGCAACCAGAGTGACCCTATGGGGTGACCCATACTGATTTTTAAAAATCGTTATATTGAGCTGAAATTTGATATGGAGGCTGAAAAAGTGAAAACCACTGCTGGGTAGCACATGCATACAGCTTAGAACTTCAGGATGTTAAAGAAGCCCACTGGTCATGGTGGTCAAGGCACATGATTTGTAACTAATTCAAAAATTTGGTACCAAATGGTAGAAACTATCTAATAAACTTTTAACCATCCACAACACGGAAGTTGGTGATATTATGTCGGTCAATTCGGAAAAAAAATTAGAAGCGGGCTCTGACTTATTGAGTCAGGGACTATGCCCCTGACTCGGGCTATATGGAGTCTGCACTGTAGGTTTTTTTCAATTGTTAAAGGAACGAGAAATACGAGCCTGCTATTACGGAGACATTTTCTTCTTCGGTTTCTGGAGCTGCCGTAAATTCTGACAATGTGATTGCGATTGGTCTTGAAACTGGGGAGGTAGAACTATTCCAATATGATCAAGATAATTCTAGTTTTAAAAATGTGCTGAAATTAGATTGCAGGTGAGAATGACATTATTTTGTTAATTTCCTATTACCAAATGTCTTATGGATTTAATTGCTTGTTTTTGTAGTTATGCTCATCATGACACGGTGAAACGGCTGAGGTTCAATCCCTCAAAAAAATCCCAACTAGCGTCAGCAGGGGCAGACAATATATTTAAAATATTTGAAATAGCAAATAGTGGCACGATTCAGATTATATAAGTATTTGTGCTAACATCATATACCTAAAAATACTTTCTATAATAAATAGTTATAAATATGTATTTATAGTGCACCTTAAAATAAAACTTTGTATACCGTTTTAAACTCTCCAGCAATATTTGATTTACGGTTTTGTTGGAATAAGTAGATTGTAAAGGCTCTAAAATATCAAGTGAAATTATTCACACCGAAACAAAGGCGGCTAAACAAAGGAGACAGACCAGTTACTAGGAAGAAAAAATATAGTTTGTAGATAAAGTAAACGCAACAAGAGTTTCCTTTTTAAATACGTATAAAACAGACAATTGACTTTAATTCTATGCTTTTAAAGCACAATATTTTCAATCAATCATTCGTCAGGAATTCTGTCCACGATAACTGAAGTGACAGGAAGTATGGGAAGTTTTGTTGTGGGTGTTAAAGTCGTATCTGTAGTAGCAGAAGAAAGTTGCATCCCTGGTGGCTTCCGTTCTTGCCCTTTCCTGGGTCTCCCCCTTTTCCCAAGAACTCTGGGTTTTGGTAAACTCGGCCAAGTGGTTAAACTCTCTCCGGATTGATTAATAACGTGCGTAATATCATTAGCAGTAATAATACTTGGTTGCGACGTTTGTCTTAAAATATTCGGTTGTGTAGTAGATTTAGGGACTAGAACTATTTGAATTCCATGTGTTTGTACTTGCATCTCCTCAAAATTTTGACTCCTTGTGACAGAACAATTTCCATGTTTAGACAGCTCGGCTCGAAGAATTTGGTTCTCTGTTTGCTCCCTAATCAATTCGGATTTAGCATGGGCCAAAAGCTTTTCCAAAGTTTCGCATCTTTCTTCCAAATTGTTGACCCATTGTTTCTAATGGTACAAAAATACGATTCATTAAGTAATAATTACTTAATTATTTTTTATATTATTATTTTATTAATATATTATTATTATATTTATATTATATTATATTTAAATTAAATAAAATTTATTATATAATATTTATATTATATAATATTATATATTATTATATAATAATATTTATATTAAATAAAAATTATATATTTAAAATATTATTATATTATTAATTACATAATTATTATGTATCACAAGTCATTGAAATTTAACGAGTGAGAGAAGGCAAAATTTAGAATTATTGTGTTACCCGTCTTTGTCTTGATCGAGCTGCTGCTGCTTTATTTCTCTCTAGCAATTCTGCCTTCTTTTCTGGCTCCAATGAAAAGGGAAGTCCTTTTAATTTTTGACGCTTGATATTGTCTGAATCATCACTCCCATTGTAAGAAGACAGAATTGGCGTTATCGGAGATAAATTAAGTTTGAGACTTGTCTTTGGCTTCTGATCCTTGCCAATAAGGCCAGTGTTGGAATTGGGAAACACCTTTTGTTCTATATCCTGATTGGAAAATGATTTCGCGTCTTGATGAGTATTACTTGCAATGTCCTCATTCGTTCTGAAAGTCATAGCGGTTGATGGCACTGGATTAAGTACAGTTGTCGTCGTGGAAGAAAAATTCGTCGCCGTTGGCGTGTTTGTACTTAAAATGTAGCCAAAAACTTGGGGCGTGTTTAGCGTGTCGTGGTCCGAGTATCGTCGTCGTACGGATGTGGAAGATGACGACGACATGTTGTACTCTGAAGAAGAAGAGTTCTGCCCCTCCGGCACGAGTGCAGAGGTGGGCAAGGCAATTGAAAAATCAAACTGATCAACAACTCCTGTCGAAGGTGTGCCTGCACTGCTGCCGCTGGCTGCTTTTGAAAACGACTCATCAAATGGGTTAACATTCTGAAGATCTTGGAACAAACCGACTTCTTCGCAATTCCGAAAAAATCTGGTAGGTGTTGGTGTTTCGTCCACATAACTGTCGAGAGATTGTTGTTGAGGCTGCCCAGGTTTTAGATTGAGGGACATTTCATGACGACGTTTATGGACTGAGAGATGATCCTCATTTGTGAAGCGCTAGAAAGGAATTTAGTCTATTAATCCATGTTGATATATTCAGTCAGTATACATACTCTGATAATATTAAAATATTGACATACTGAACTACAAGTGGTACATTTAAACGGTTTTTCAATTTCCATAATGGCACATTGGACGAAGAAAGTCAAGTCATTGGCGCAGCTCACGGCGATTGTCTTCTCGATTTGTAAAGTTGTCTCATTTCTTAGTTTCGATCTGTAAACCAATTTGTGCATTTAAATTAAATCATTCAATTAATGAAGCAATGACGAACACAATTTGTCGTTGAATTGAAATGCTGACAGTGATTGATAACTTACAATAAATAACAATTGCTACTCACCAAAACCTCCATTGCATGCGGATTTAAGATGATATCCACTCTGTTTACATTCACATAAGGATAAGTGAAACAGATTGTGTTATCAAACGAAATGTTCAAAAAAATAAATAAATACGCAAAATTTTGTGCACTTTTCGTGGAAATAATGAAGATCAGATTTCCCCAATGTTGACACCGGGAATGCCGAGTTCTCGGCTCAGATCTTGTCTGAACTTGTTCAGTTTCGTTTCCCGACACACGCAGTATCGGCTTCTGCAACGTTTTACTTTATTTTTTTGAAAAAAAGTACACATTTCAAAATTTCGGAAACATTAAAATTGTGGTGATTATACACAAATCTAGCAGCAAGTAAGGTAAATCATGGGTTTATTATTTGACTTACTGTTTTCTTCTCAAGTTATGTTTTTATGCGGTTGAAATTATACTGCTATTTTGTAAAATAACATAACATTTATTATCGCCAGGTTTTTGCGAGGAAACACTCAGCGAAATGGCTGTTGCTACTTCATCCTGGCAAGATTTCCATCCGGATGATTCTGATGACGAGTTTGAAAAGTCTGGAGAGGCTAGTTTTTCTGGAAAGACGGCCTTGTTGATTTTAATTGATACTACACCGCACATGTTTGCTGGGTGGGAGGATAATAAAGAAACCCCGTTTCTTGCAGCAATCAAGGTTGGAAATAGTTAATATTTCATAATGCTTATCAAACTAAAAAACTCTCATTCCAGTGTTGTGAATCCATTCTAAGGAGCAAGATTATCTCGAATCCAGGCGATCTTGTAAGCATTGTCCTGAATGGGACGGAACAAGCAAAGAACAGTGGAAACTTTCCCTCTATTTATGAACTGCAAGCGTTCAGTACTGTTAAAGTGGACATGATTAAACAGCTCATTGAAATGCGAGACTCGGAAGATTATAATGATTTTCCAAACAAGATTGGTTCAAATGACACGTACAGCTTGACGGATTTATTTTGGCAGGCCAAGATGAATTTTGACACGGCGTATGCAACTTGTTAATTGTTAATTAAGTATTCACTACAGATATAGAAGGCAGTTCGTTGTTAAAAAAATATTTGTCGCTTTTATTTTAGAAAAACGCAATTGTTCTCAAAGAAAATAATGTACTTTACATCGGAAGATAATCCTCACGGTTCAAGACCCAATTTGCAAACTGATGCCACGAGCAAGTTCAAAGATTTGGGGACTGTAGAGTTGAACATTGTATCATTCAAGGAAGATTTCCAATTTGACAAATTCTACTCGGTATTTGATACCTATTTTAGTTTGTTATCTGACGAGACGGTAACGGACAATGTATGTATTGTATGATTTTGAATAGAAACTTACGGACGACCAGTCATCAGTAATCCTTGCAAAAGATTTGGAAAGCTTGCAAAAAATTGTTCGAATGAAGCAACGCTTGAAGCGGCCCATAAGCCGATCAACATTGGAAGTTTTGCCAGGTGTGAACGTTGGAATTGGATTTTACTCCTTTGTTCGGAAAGCACTTCCCCCACGAGCCTTGAATATTAACAAGCGCACCAATGAAGTTGTTGAACGGACCGTGAGCGTTGTTCGTACTGTAAGTATATTAATGCATTCTATAATTTTGTGGCATCATATGTTACGTACTGATAACAAAATCATCTGAAATATATAATGAAATATGTTGTATAGGATACAGGAATACCTGTCCTGAAATCTGAGGAACGAAAAATGACCAATGTCCAAGGCGAAACTGCAGTATTCACTCCACAGGAAATGAAAGAAATCAAACATACTCAGGAACCTGGTGTGAGGATTCTTGGATATTACAGGTTAGGTCAAACTTCAACAATGTGGGTTTTACTTGACAGCTGCAAATTAAGAACACTTTTGTCCAACTTTTTCTGCGAATCCAATACTTTCCCACTTAAATACAAGATCAAGTAGTAACACAGTTAAGATCTATGAAGTTTGAGGAAAATACTTAGTAATTCATTATTCGAACCATTCAATAAGTCTAAAATAAGTTCAGGTAGAGACGGACGAAATTAATTGTTTGAAAACAAGAGTCCCTTTCGTACTACGAACAGAAGAGTTCCCAATAAAGGAAAATTCTTCTTCTTGGTTTATGGTTTATGAATCGGAGCAAGAGAATTATTAAAATATTAGTTAGCACAATACAAAACAACAATAACGTTTTCACAAGATTCGCAAACTATGTGTCACCTCTACAATTATTGCATTACAGATGACAGACCAACCTTAAAATATTTCTCACTCATTATTATCTAGAACAATATTGTCTGTCTAGATTGATTGCAAATTATTTAATTTAAGATATTTTATACAGTGCCCGAGATTTCGACAATATTATCTGGTATCGTTCGCCAGTCTACTTTTTGTACCCGGATGATGATCGCATTATGGGAAGCAAAGATTTGTTTTCCACATTATTGAAAAGATGTCATCTTCTCGAGGTAATCAGTGTACTAATCGGATCGGTACCTATGTATATATTTGCGAATTATCGATGATTCTTATGGATTTTTTTTTTAATTTCCAGAAAGTCGTTGTTGTTCGATATGTCCTTACAAGAGGAAAGAGTCCAAAACTTGGAGTATTGATTCCTTCCGTACCTGATGAAACTACACCTTCTGTATTCCCTCAAGGATTTCATCTCTTTCCAATTCCTTTTTCCGGTGCACAAAATACATTTTAATTTAATTTAAACTTGTCAATACCTTAATTTATCTTCTGAAATAGACGAGGCCCGTAAACTCGATGTTGAGCTTGGAGCAGAAGCGACACCAGAACTTGTTGAAATTATGGAAAAGATCGTCAAGAAGCTGACTAATAAAAATTTCGACATTTTGGAAGTGAAAAATCCAGCCTTGCAACAATTATGGAGGAAACTTGAAGAGGATGCTCTTGATGAAAAAGTAGAGGACCCTGAAGAACTTTTTGACTATACAGGTACCTACTATAACTAATGGAGTAATGCTTATTTCTTCATCAGACACATTAAATTAAGTGACAAAAATTAAATTTAAAGTATGCATGATTTAAACGTATGCAAAAACGGAAGTTGTTGACATTTAGAACAAACTATTTTCTATCGCAGAACCAAATGAAGTGTTGATGCGGTCAAGACTCTCTGCCAAGCCAAAGGATGGAGGGGAGTCACTGATTGATCAACTAGAACAAACGGCTGCAAAACTAAGTCGTTCTTTTGGCAAAGCAAAGTCTTCTGCTCCAATTCAGAAGCGAATTGATATTGAGATGGAAGCTCGCCATGGGCGGGTACGTATACAATAATTAAATTAAAATAGCTTGGCAGAGGATAACAAACTTTTTATGCCAATTATAATGTAAATTACTTGTTGTAGTTGATGGGTTGCTCTTGTGCCCTACTTCGCGGATTTCTGGAAGAACGTGGAGTTGAAATACCCAAGATATGCGGAAAACGGAATCTGATTGACATGGTTGGCAAAGCCACCGGCTATCGATCATTCTTTAATTAACTTTCTGTCCGTGAAATTATTTTTCCCGTCCCTCCTTACGTCACTTCACTGAGGACGAGTTTATCAGCACTTGTATTACTGCTAACTATAGCTGCATATGTGATGAATTTAATTAACGTATAATAAATGCATACCTTTAAAGCTTAATACACGTAGTAATTTTTGTCTGAATAGCATGAGAATAAGTTTAACAATCGTGATTATATTGAATATCATTTAATGTATTTCCGTTAATATTGCCCTTATAAATTATGCATCAGGATACATTTACATTTACGGAAAGCGAATAAGAAATCATGTTCCGTAAGTAGGCATCGTAGATTTGTTTTTTAGTATCCAACGTTTTCATAAGGGATCCATGCCACATCCAAATTTGGAGTTGAATGAAATCAGTCTAATCGATAAAGAGATTTGTTTCAATTCTGAACTTGGTCCAAATAACCGGAAGCTCATTAAAGTAAAGTATGTGCTTGTAGGGAAGAGTTACGCATCAAAATTATATTTCGAATAATTAGTCTTACCAGTAAGTAAAATGATTTTTTTATTGGTCTAAAGAAAAGTAAAAAAAAACAATCTATTGAAAAGTGTGATGAACAAGGATGAACCTTGCATAAAGCAAACATTTCATGCAAATAGAAACATTAAAGGATATTTTTGGATAATATAAATGTGCATTCAGATTTAACAGGAACTAGCAAAGTAAATATCTTACTGACTTACAAAAGGTGATACGAGTAGGATTTATGGCAAAATTATTATCAAATTTATGCGCACGAAGGTAGTTGAATTTCTATTCTATTAATTTAGGCAATCATGCATCTGCTGATCCAGCTTTGCTTCTTTTGCTGAAATAGCGAAAAATCACAATATTGCAATTTGTTACACATAAAATATACATTTTTGCGTATGTGTAATGAATTAACTACCTTCATGCAAGCTCGCACTGATGTTTCAAAAACGTTGTGAACCCCTTCTCGCGTCAAGGCAGAACATTCCACATATGCAACGGCATTTATCTTGCTGGCGACTTCTTGTCCAACTTCGAATCCCACCGGAGTGTGATTAATCAAGGCCAATGTCTCCACTAACATGGGATCGTCCCTCAAGTCAATCTTGTTTCCACAAAGAACGATGGGGACATCAGGACAGAAATGGCTGCATTCTGGTCCCCATTTTTCCATTACGTTCTGAAGCGAATCTGGGTTATCCACGGAAAAGCAGATGAGAAGGACATCCGTGTCTGGGTAGGAGAGGGGTCGCAATCTGTCGTAATCTTCTTGGCCAGCTGTGTCAGTAAAAATCGTCAATGTGAAATTTCCAACCACCCCGATTTTCCCAAAATTTGTAAATGTAGAAATTATGATAAGTCAACTTTATATTTTAAACTTCGTCTATTATTACAATGAAAAACCTACCCGAAACATTCTGGTCAGAGAGTTTATAATAAAGTCTTAACTATTATGAGAGTACAGTTCATACCTGTATCCCAAAGAGCGAGGTCAATCTGCAAACACCAAAGTTGATCGTAATTAAATTTTAGAAATTATACAATACTTTGAAGATTCTGAAACCCATACCACTTTTCCATCGATTTCAATCTCGGTCACATAGTTTTCGAAAACGGTCGGAACGTACATCGTTGGGAAAGAATCTTTGCTAAAAGTGATGAGGAGACTTGTCTTCCCACAAGCACCATCTCCAACGATGACCAGCTTCTTTTTCGCCATGATTGACGTTGACATCTGCATAGAAAAGTGTAAATAAATTTTGCAAAATGATAATAAATTATAATTATTAGGAGAAAACGACCAGTCAGATATTTTAAGATAAAACAAATGAAAATGCTTCATCTGACCTTTTAGTAAGTTTGGTCCCCTCAAACGATGGTAACCACACTTTTAGACTGCTTTTAGAAGTCAGTAATGGTAAAAAAAATTCAGAAAAAATTATCGAATTTTTCAAAAATAAATGAACGAAGAGCACGAGCACAGAGCAAAATCGTATTTATGAAGTATGCGGTCGGCCAGATTCTGAATTGCGGGGTGAAGTGCATTTGTTCATTGTGTCTTAAAAAAATGTGCAAAATCTCAGTTTTTTGCAATTATGGTAAAAATGTAGTTAGAAATTTTTCCGAATTACAAAACCTCAAATTCTTGGAATGCTCTATCATGTGATGAATTATATGCTTGGAATAGGGAATAGTGCCCTTTCATAGTGAAACACGAAACTGAATTATCTAATTCCCATTTATTATCTCATTTTCCCCATTTTTCCGAATATCTCAAGTTGTACCCAATGCGTGTTGAAATATTTGCATGATTTTTTTTCATGCATGCACAATATCTACAACGTAAATAAATATATCGTGCTTTTGCTTTGTTCCTGCAAATTCCGCTTTGTTTCTGCAAATTCCGCTTTGTTTCTGCAAATTCCGCTTTGTTTGTACATAAATAGAATGGATGAAGATATATTTTTGTCTCACGCTAATCACCTTTAATTGAATTGATTATATACCAGTACGGAAAAACCATCCAATAAAAACGGTCAGCCTATTTACAACTGCGCCGATTACATAGTTCAATTTAAACTTTAATCGTAAGTAATGGTGGTAATACCAAATTAAAGTTGTTGACGTTAAATTGATGGCATATTGCATAGTATAGTGGATAACCTTCACTCGGTTCAAGCTCAGTTTACCAAGTGCAGAGATGTCATAATCTCGATATGCACATATAACAGAGAAACTGATACATATCTAATGAATATCTACTGATAGATAACGTAATTTAAAACATGTGTCGTGTCGTTCTGATATCTCTCCGTTAAATCGATGGCTGAAGTTTGTTTTATGAAGGAGCAATGATTGATTAATTAACAATTGATTGACACTTCTGGGAGTGAGCCATACAAATTTATTTTTGAAATATAAATAGTTTTAAATCGTCCATGATATCATTATGGAGGTAGTGAAAGGTTTTGGGCGACTGTTTTACTTCATCAGCCCAAATGAAACGGCAGTTCCTCGCGTGGAAGATCTTCCTCATCCTGATTACATCGCTCAGGTCTGGACAGTTTTCCATAATATTCATCAGTGGCCGCGGAAGCTGGGGGGATATGTGGGGACCTTAACATTGTAGGATAGTAGAGGGAGGGGTTTACATAACATGGGGAGATGACGGGGACATCGCACAACCGTGGGGACATTGTCCCTCTGTCCTCAGGCTTCCGCGGCCACTAATTTTTATCATGACGATCTTTAATGAAATTCCTGAATCTATGTAGGCTGTCCCCTACTTTCTGACCCTCGTAATATTAGAATTTCTTATCCAATGGTGGAAGGGCAAGAGGAGAGCACGCCTCAACGATGGGATCACTTCACTATCCCACGGAATGTACCTCGGGTGCCAAGAGTAATTAATAAAATACACATAAAAAACTTTTATTACTTGCAAACAATTAAGCATTTATAAAAATTAATCTAAATCCTATTAAGGATGCTAACTCGCGGCGTCCTTCATTACGCATACTGTAAAATCTACGAATCCTGGATTATTTACGAGCTCCCGTGGGACTCCCCTACAACCTGGTACGTTGCCGCACTGGCCACCGATTTCGGGTATTACTGGGTCCATCGGGCCTCCCATGAGGTTTCCTTTTTCTGGGCGAAACATCAAGTCCACCACAGTTCAGAGGAGTACAACCTGACCACGGCGCTGCGACAGTCCGCCCTCCAGCACACGCTCGCCTGGCCGTTCTACTTGCCCATGGCGTTCTTCGTGCCGCCCTCAATCTTCCTCGTCCACCAACAGTTCAACACCATGTTCCAATTTTGGATCCATACCGAACTCGTCGACGACTTGGGACCTTTGGAGTGGGTCCTTAATACTCCCAAGCATCACAGAATCCATCACGGTGAGTGTGTGGAGTGGACGATGTTTTCATGTTTTTAAAATGTTTTTGCACCGATTTTCAGGAAGTAATCGGTACTGTTTGGACACCAACTATGCTGGCGTGCTTATCATCTGGGACAGAATGTTTGGAACATTTGCAGCAGAAAAGAAGGGGGAAAGAATTGTGTACGGTTTGGTGGGCCAGGTTCAATCGTTTAATCCGTTTTGGCTTCAGGTGAGTCTTTATTTACTAATTAGGCGCTTTCCTCCCCATGAAAACTAACAATGCTGTTACCACGTCGCTGCTTTTCTTCCTCGTTCCACGAATAGTAATCGGTGTCCAAACTGCTAGAAATGCTCTGCACCCGGTTCATCCCCCCGTAAAATAGCTGGGTTGAGGAGCCCCTTTTCTGCGATAGTTTGGCCATGTAGTACACGTAAATTAGAAAACTGGTGACCACGATGAACACAAAAATCGTCACGGCAGACATGATTTGGAGAGAAATGTGAAACTGGTGGTTTGGTGAAGACATTTTTTGGGGTCGTTGCAATTAAAGTAAGTAATTTCGTGTGAAATTGCAGTTCTATCACTATCCAAAGATCTGGGAGAAAATGAAGCAATTTGATAACTGGAGTGATAAGTTATCCGCTGCACTCAAAGGGCCAGGTTGGACGAAGGGAAAACCAAGGTTGGGAGATCCGAATGACTGTCCAGAGGTTTGTACATGCATAACTTTAACTTATCACCGAAGCACCATTAACGGTGACACATCAATAATAATAATAAAAAAATGCGTAGTATTACATATGTATATTTCGACTTATCTAATCCTAATCGTGAGTTAACCATGCTCACGAACTTGTCAACTGCTAATCAATAGCTTTAATGCCGCTTATACTGGGTGAAGGTATGAATCATTCCTATTGCTGGAAATATTTATGATTAATTAAATGTGTAGGTACCCCTCCGAGAAAAGTATGATGTTCGATTGCCAATGTGGAAAAATTATTATGCTGGAATCCACTTCCTCATAACGCTGGCAGGATTTGATTACTTGTCCCGACATTTTTTGGTGGGTTCAGTTACATAATTTATTAATGTAGATTGTCAATGATTCATCGCCAAAATCGTCAAAATCAGCACATTTTTAATAATTTCTTGGCTCTGGGAATTTATTTTATAATTTCTGGAGAAAATTCTGGAGAAAATTCTGGAGAGCAAGGCATCGCCAATTAAAAAAATATACACTCCAGATTATGACCGTTTTTGGAAAAGTTTAAAAGTCCTTCAGAAAAATTGGACTCAATGAAACTGGCTTAAAAAACCTACCATCATTCAACTTACTGGCTACAAATTTGTAAAATAACTTCCCAGAGCCGAGAAATGATTGAAAATGTGCTGATTTATGCTTCGCCGAATACGTGTAATTCGCATTTCTCTATAATTCATATTTTCGTGAATTTTTCAGAATTTTAGCCAAATCACGGTTCTGGCATCGGTTATATTCATCCTCTTCTCTCTAACAAGTATCGGACTCATACTGGAAGATCGTGGGATTGGAGCTCTTTCCGAAATTGGACGCTGCACTTTGGTCATCTTATTTGGATCAAATGTCGTCATACATCCCATTCTGTCCAAGCTAATTTACGGCGTCTTTGCACTTTCTATCTGCATTTGGAGTATTCAATTTACCCAACAGGATCGCGTCAATATCAGTGTTGCTTCCAAGAAGCGTTCGTGAATCAATAAATAAGACAATCCATACATATTTGCGTACTATTCCAACTGCGACTTAGGTAGAGATTGTCGTTTTGCACAAAAATATTTACTAGACTGCTCAATAATAAAGATTGTTGAAGATAATTTACAAATTATGAACTGGATTCGAGATTGCATCCACAAATCCGGCTGAAATCCGGATAAGTTTATTTCATTTTCATTCATGTGAGTCTTGGCGTCACGTACTTATTTACTTAAGTATTTAGCTGGAACTTATGCAAAATTCCACATGAAAGGTATCCGTTTCATGATATTGAGAATTGTTGACTTGGGTAGACGTTTTATATATGCAGCGTTAACCGTGGTCATCATTATGAAGTGGTCAGCCGCTTATTGCGATCGTTTTGTCCGTCCGTGGATATCTCCAGAACGCCTCACTCAACATATTCAAATGCCGTTTTCGCCATTGTGCCTCTAATTTTTAGTTCTCGGTCGAGTTCATAATGGAGTCAATCGGACAACCCCCCCACATGGCGAGGGGGTCTGGTCCAAAATTAATTTAATCTTAATTTTCATATGGGGTGTCATTTTAAAGGAAATCTCACCACGAAATCACCACGAAGGATGAGGTCGAAGGTTATAAATCACAACATTTCCATGCAGTTTCATTTTACTGTATGACGCCACTTTTTTATGTCCGTTTATTATCATTAGCAAGTATTGTCCAGTCTGTTGAATCAGGTAAAAAAACTAGTCGGCAAATATTGAATGTATTTTCTTTGAAATGAACAAAGGTTTCGAGAGTGTGAAACTGAAATGAACTTGACTCGCTAATTACTTAAATACGTACATATGTGTGTACTTACATGTATTGTAGCTAGTTTTAGGATTAGTGAAATATGGACCTACGCAAATCGTGCAAAGTTGCGCGTTACATATTTTTCCGCTCGCAGTTATACATAAATACGTAATGATAATTTAAATATTTGGTCCATTTCGTGAAATGCTAACCCATTAAAGACTGACATTTTTGCATAATCACTTGTTAATTGATCTCTCCGGAATAAAAATGAGCGAGGACAAGTAGAGGTTAGCACGGATGCCCATACCTGAGTGCTCCTCAGTAATAATTAGTCGACAGCTTCAGCGTCACTCTGTTGGATACTCGTTATATAAATATTGACTCAAGAAAGAAAAACCAAACTAGTTGCAGCACCAGTTCGAAATTTGGTGTAGAAAGTTCTTCATTAAAAAAAAACAATGGAGAAGTTCTACTTGCTCGTGGCACTTTTGGCGTTGGGAGGATCCTGTCTGGGCGACGAAGTTAACGAGAATGACACCGATTCCGGAGTCTATTCCTACACGACAAACTTTTTCACGGTCCCAGTAAGTTCTATTTTGGGCAAGATTTTTCAGAATTATTTCAAAAATTACTAAAATCTCAAATCATACGCAACGTTTAGCTGGACCATTTTAGTTTCGCGAGACGAGAAACGTTTAAAATCCGCTATCTAGTAAATGACACGTACTGGGACAAGAAGAACAATGGTCCCATATTTTTATACACGGGGAACGAAGGGTCGGTGGAGGCCTTCGCGGAAAATACTGGTTTCATGTGGGACATCGCGGAAGAGTTTGGGGCCGCCCTGGTGTTTGCGGAACATCGATTTTATGGCCAATCTTCGCCACCAGACACGTTAAAATACAAGGTAACTATTAATTGCTCCCAGTTAATGTGCATACATAAATAAATACTGACTAATTGGTGGTGGTGGTCAGTTGGAGAACAGCAAGATTCGAATCATGGGCTATCTAACGGTTACACAAACATTGGCAGATTTCGCAAAATTGATCACTGCATTCAAGGAGGAAAATGGGGCTGAAAACAGTCCCGTCATTGCGTTCGGAGGATCGTATGGGGGCGTTTTAACGGCATGGTTGAGAATGAAGTATCCTCATGTTGTTGCAGGGTATGCAAACTAAAGTTAATTAATTTTAACTAATTTAAATAATTTAATTTACATTCAATTAAAAAATCTTCTTTATCAACTCTCTTCATCTCTGCAGAGGAATTGCGTCGTCGGCCCCCTTCTATCTTGGGAACGTTCCCTGTGAGACGTACGACGCGTCTTTGGCATCCATCTTTGGTCAGAACGGTAACGGTAATTGCGTCAACGTCATTAGAAAATCGTGGAGCTATTTGAACCATCTTGGCAAAACGAGTAAGGAAATGAATCTAATAACTGGGTGCAAATTGTGTGCATATTTAGCAAAGTAATTATGCAAATGAGTAAATATATTCTGCGTAGGCAAAGGCCGAAAATGGCTGACAAAAGCGTGGAGAATGTGCGATCCTATCGAGAAGGTATACTCACTTAATTTTTGGGAAATCTGAAGCTTTTTTAATATTTCAAACGCCAATGCAGATGGATGATGTCGATAGTCTCAAAAATTGGTTGGAGTCCATGTATGGTTTTCTTGGTAAGGATATCGATAAATTTTCCCATTTTTTTATCATTAAAAATTCTAATTTACGAAATTTTGACAAACAAATCGATTCAAATATATACAAAACTGTGCTAATCTACCTACATATAATTAGAAGTCATTACAAATTTAAAATAATGCAAATATTTTTATCCGACGCGAAAACTTGACAAAAACTGAAATTCATAAACATCAATCTTCTAACTCTCTTCGATTTGATTAATTAACAAATTACTCCAATAAAATAAGTAAAATTTCCATTTTCATGTAAACATAAACACTGATGTAGCCATTATGTCAGACATAAACAGTAAAAGTTACTCTTCGTTAATCTTTGTAAATATTTCTATCCGACGCTAAACTTAAAAAATTAATTTCACAACTCTTCCATTCGTTTAATAATGAAAAAAATCACTCCAAAAAATTAGTAAAATTTCCATTTCATTAGGAATGGCCAATTATCCCTATCCTGCAAACTTTCTCCAGGCAAGTGCATTTTATATTTTGTGGATAAGTTATAGATATTTTGAATAAAATAATAAACTGTTTAATTTTGTAATATTTCTCCAGGATCTTCCTGCTAATCCGGTTAAGGTATATTAGTAGATATTTTTAAACAATTAATAATCTACGTATGCATATAAATAGTTGAGCTCATTATTGGATTCCATTGTAAATTAGTATCGCCTAATGTGCGCATAAAATGACACTTATTTAAAATTAATGATCTTCCTCAGGCGTTCTGCTCAGAGCTGCAAGACACGGATCCTACCAATGAAAAACAAGTCATGAGAGACATGTTCCAGGTAGGCATCTCAAAGATCGAACTATTTGAAAAAAAATATTTTAAACTTTGAAGTTCACAAAATTAAAGTTTAACTAGTTTTTAGCCAATACCGTATTTTAAAAGAACTTTTTAAATAGGCCATCAACATCTACATGAACAATTCTGGATATGCAACTTGCTTCGACTATTCAGATGACAGCATGTACTCCACGAGCTACAGTTCTAATGATGATACCGCTTTCAACTATCAGGTTAGTATGAAAACTTATCTTATCCAGTCGATGATTAAAGATGTGTACATCTTAAAAATCTGGTAGAGTCAGATACATGCTCCGTACTGGTATTTATTTGGTAATAACTTCCTACCGGATTGGTAGCACTTTGTTTCTCAGTGGTAAATTTTTCATTGCCACAACTCTACTAAGCGGTAATGCCCATTATTACCAGTGCCGGTAGAGTCATATACGTATGTACTCCGGTCAGTAATGGTTTAATACCAGTTTTCTAAGAGGAATACTTATGTCTGTATAATATTGCTTCCCACATGCAAACTATTGTAAACGTATAAATTTATGTACGTATTTAGAGCTGCACAGAACTAATCGATCCCGAATGTGATGATGGCGTCCACGACTTTTTCGAACCCCAAACCTGGGACTTTGCCGAATTTGCTCAGCAATGTTACGACACTTACCACGTCAAACCGGACGCGTCCAGGGTGAATCTTTTCTTCGGGGGGAAAGACATCATCGCGGCGTCCAACATCGTCTTCTCCAACGGTCTCCTGGACCCCTGGTATGCCTACGGCGTTCTCGGTAACTTGTCCGACTCCCTGATCGCCGTCATAATTCGTGAAGGGGCGCATCATCTCGACCTCCGAGCCGCAAATGAGGCTGACCCACCGTCCGTCGTGACTGCGAGAAATCTGGAAAAAACTATGATTAAACAGTGGATCTCACAGTATCACGAGAATCAAGTCAAAATACAAAATGTTTTTGCCCAATTTTAAGTCATTATGCAAAATAAGTCTTTGTTTCGAAATCTAATAAAATGTTTTTTTTTTGGGTTTGTAAAGTTACTGTTTATTTTGTTTTCTGTTTTTATAACATTTTTAACATTTTTGATTTTCATTTTGTAATTTTTAAACCGTTTTTTTATAGTCGGAAAGTGAGTGTTGAAGTGAATGCTGTTGGTTGGTTGAATGACTTTTGCTCCATTAACAAGCTATACTTTTTTTTTACTACACAAACTACGAAAACTACCGTTAAATGTACGAGTAAACGAGGACTTTGACATCCCATTTACGCCACATCAAATACAGGCTGGTCAGGTGAAGCCGTCGCCGAACAGGGACGACGACAGGCTAACGTTTTGTTTTACTTCAAGAGAAACAATGGTTTCTTACAACAATGTGGAGGAAATTTGTTTACAAAATTTTCCAATCATCACTATACAAATCATACCTTAAACGTATGACACTAGTTATATTCTAGCAGCATTATTACCAATGCAATGCAATCCATTGTTGCAACAATTACAAATTTGTTCCGATGAAGAAACATTTCAAATTATAACAAAAAAATTGATTCTACAAAAACTTATTGGCTACGTGTACTTACTAACTAAATGCATGCGTACAACCTGACATGATAACATTATTACTTATTACTAACTACGCAGTAACAACTCTACTCCACATGTTAGAAATTACAATTTGTCGTCAGTAGGAAAAAGCGTTACTCAGTCTCTAATTTGTAGTATTTTTCCCATTTCAAAATTACATGAAATAAGGATGATTTTTTTCTTTCTTCCTCGGTGTAGCATTTTGCTTCCTTAATTTACTTATATATTACCTTAATAATAAATTTAACTATAAGACTAATAATAATAAGTGACAAGTACAAAAAGTTGTGCATGGTTCATAATAATTTTATAGTGCAGAACAAGAGGATAATTAACAAGACTACGCTAAGCTACATTATTTCTACAATGAGCATATTTTACACATCACAATTATTACCACTCAGCAGTAAATTTTGGTAAACATCAAGACAACGAAACAATAACGAGTAATATTTAGGACTTAATAAATTGATTTTTTTTTATATTTGAAAAATTGAAGTTATGATACTAATCATAACATTGTAATCCAAATTAATGGGCCAGTGGCCTGGAAAGCATATAAAAACCTATATTATTATTAAATTCATTTTTTATAAAGTGTTCTTTCTACTGTTTTAAGCATATGCTGATATAGAATCTAAACTGTAAACAATGATAAGAAAAGAGGGGAACTGATAATTGACGAAATTTTAAGTAGAGATATCTAACTTGGTTGGTTGGCTAATTTTTGTTGTTTTAGTTTATCTTAATTAAGTGACGAATCCCTCCAGGTGTTAATTCCTACAACTCGGACCAACAATAGCGAAGACGAATTTTTTCTTTAGCGTCTTCCTCTTCGCTTCATAGAAGCAGCACACTGAGGACAATACCATTTTCCTTTCGGTGTCGCAGTAATTCCGACGCATCCGTAATGAAACCATTCGATTGGGCACTATTTAATAAGAAGGCACCATATAAGCAATGTACCAAATCCTAAATCTATAATCTATGCATAGATTACGTACATCCGCATTGTCGCAAGCCACCATGTCGCCATAGCTGACCTCGTTACAAATGCAGTAACGTGGTTCGGATGGATCCACGAATGCCGTCCAGTCTTGCGGTTCCGTCGTATCCATTACGAGTGTGTCGTCAACAAGTTCATCCGGCGGTTGAGACATGAGTTCTTGATTTTGAGTATGGTGTGATTTCCTAAGTCGGACGAAATTAATTGTTAGTTAAGGCCGTAAAATAAGTGATAAATTAAAAATATAGTGTCAACTAATACAAACCTCTTGTTTCTCTTCTGCTCTGCTCCTCCGCAACCCGTCGCGGCCAGAGCTTGTTGGGCAGCTTGATGAAGTTCATTATTCGTTAGCAGTTCTCGTCCAACGCTAAACTCGGCTGGATGGATTCCCAAATTGACTGCATCGTATGACGCTTTAAGACTCGCTGTTCTCCGACCCTGTTGCATCTAACACGAAATTTCACTTTAATAAGGTTCCCATAAAGTAGGAAATATCTGGTTAAGGACGACAAATTACCTGCTGCGTGGCAGCTATGGCTTGAGATGCGGCCGCTGCGAGTGAATTACCTCCAGCCCCCATGTGATTAAGTGCGTAAGCAAGTGGCGGTGGCGTCCCAGAGCTGTGGGCTCCTTGAAGAAGTGCCATCTTTTCGAGTGAATTTTTCCGCTCAGATTTCTTTTCCGTTTTAACATTGTTCATGTATCGGTTCTCCTTCTGACTGAGATAGTCGCCGCTTAAACGGTCGCGATCTGGAGCGTGTTGAACGTCCATTTCAAGAGAACCTATAAATTAAAACCTACAGTGCAGACTCCATATAGCCCGAGTCAGGGACATAGTCCCTGACTCAATAAGTCAGAGCCCGCTTCTAAATTCTTTTCCGAACTGACCGACATAATATCACCAACTTCCGTGTTGTGGATGGTTAAAAGTTTGTTAGATAGTTTCTATTATTTGGTACCAAATTTTTGAATTAGTTACAAATCATGTGCCTTGACCACCATGACCAGTGGCTTCTTTAACAACCTGAAGTTCTAAGCTGTATGTATGTGCTACTCAGCCTCCAAATCAAATTTCAGCTCGATATAACGATTTTTAAAAATCAGTATGGGTCACCCCATACTGATTGCACTCTGGTCACTTTGGTCTGGTTGCACTTTGTTCACTTTTAACTTCATATTCTTTAATTAGCAGTCATTAAGTATCATTGTGCCGGATTTCATCTTTTTAAAACAATTTCTAAAAATCGGTATGGGTCACCCCATAGGGGCGTTCCAGATAAAAATTTTACCAATATCATATCATATTCTTTTATTAAGACCCATAAGCAACCTCTCCACCAAATTTCAGTTCGATATGATGGTTTTGAAAAATCGGTATGGGTCACCCCATAGGGTCACTCATGATGAAAATTTTTCCAACCTGAAGTTATTTTTTTCTATTAGGAGCCATTAGCAACCTCTGTACCAAATTTCAGCTCTCTCCAACAATTTTGAAATTTTGGTGCATAAGACCCCACCCACTCCGATGACCCCCACCGGTCAACCACTGGACCGATTTCGCCCATCTTCGAACTCGTTTCCTAACTTTGTCCAATATGCATATGGTAAAAATTTCAAGTCAATCGGTTCAGCCGTTTTGGCTCTATCGTGCCGGACAGACAGACAGACAGACAGACGGACGGACATGACGGTTCCATAAGCCCTGACTCGGGCTAAAAATGTATTAATCATAAGAATCAAAGTTCGAAGGTCATAGAAAATTAAATTAATTATTAATTTAAATTAATTAAATTAATAATTAATTATAATTATTATACTAAATTAATTTAAAAGTTATTTGTGATAATAAAAGTATTTATTAATCATACGAAACCTACGTTTCTCCAAAACTTCCGTGATTCCAGCATTATCCGCTTCCAACTCCATTTTAAACTTGTACAATTCTGAATCTAGTTTTCTCAAATATTTCTCAACTAATTCATACATTTGATTTGCTTGGTGCACTTTCTCATCTGCAATTCAATTAATCAATTACATGATTAGATTCAAAAACTATCTTATTAATTAATAACTTAACTAACCTGCATCCTCTAAAACTTTATAATATTCGCCACGAATTGCATCAAATTCTGTTTCACGTTCTGGCGTTTTCTGCTTTTTTGCCCCGGCGAAGAATAACTTTACCCTGTCCTCCAACTTATCCGTGGCGTCTGTAAATCCAATCATTAATCATAATAATTAGCTAATTATTTATTTAGCTCTACACAAGCTGTATCAAACAAAAATTAATATATATAACTTACTCTGCACTTGCAAATCCAATTCACGAATCTCCGTGAATCTATCCTTCAACTCCTGGGGCAGGTGCTCAATCACTGCAATTATTTATTAAATTAGTAAATATAAATAATCTCAAACGTAAATAATTAAATCGTAGTTTGCAAAACCAACAGCTTGCAAAAAAGTTTGCAGCTTTGCAAAAGTCAACAGCTGCTGGAAAAATTAAATCTCCAACCACCACGCTTCTACCTCCACCACCACCACCACCACCCTCATCAACAAACAAAGGATGTCTAAACCCACGGGGCTGCACGAGACGTGCCATTAACTCCCCAAAATATCAAAACCGTTAAAAAAATGGTCAAAATTCCCCTTGATTTGACTTACTTTCCAGATAATCCTCCAAATAGAGCATGATGATAAGTTCGTGGGGGTATCGGGGTGCTGAGAATTAGAGAATTATCTGGAAATTGGGAGCAGCTTGCGTGTTGTTGTCAAATTTGAACCGATCCGGGCACAAGGGTTGGGTCGTTGGTTGGCAAGGAAGGTCTCACCTTACCCCAGATCGAGAACAAAGGAAAATCACAATTTCTTGTTACATACGTGAAAAATTATGATAACCTAAATTTAATGATGATTAATTATTATTTTATTGCGATTACTGCTAAAAAACGTGAAGGAATTATCCAGATGACTAATACGAGACGAAAGAATGAAGTGATTTTATGTTCCCCGTGACGTGCAGTCGATTGGATTTGACGCTGCTTAATTAAAGCTTGTCTTGTTTTGATTGTTGCCATTTTTCTGATAACCTGATGGCAATTTGTCATCGCTTATTTATTTATCGGGCATGGTGGTGAATTTTTAATGTAAATGATGAGAATTCAAGCGGTCAAAGGATGACATAATAGACTGGAATTGATGTAGAACGAGTAATGATGAGTATTCCATACGCATGTACAAACACGTAACGTGGCACATTTTTATCGAGTGACGAACCACCATTGCAATAATTTGCATACTAGTTCTAAATCTGGTTACATATGTATGCGCTTATCGGAACAGGGTAAGCTCTTTGGCTTAATGGGACGAATTATGATAAAAGTTTCAGCTTATCAACTAACTACATATGCATGTAATACATATTCTCTTATCACATTTCGGACTTTATTGAATTCTTCTCTGATGAAATTGGTTGGAGTTCATATCTTCATCGTACTTGTTGGTCCTCAGTTGAAAATTTATTTTAGTAGGGTTCATATAAATATTTATAATTAAATATAATTGTTACTCTAAAATGGGGCAAGTTTTCATGTGGAAATATTTCGTGGGGATTTTTCTGCTCGGGGTGTGTCTGACGGAAATAACTGCACAGATTACCGATCAAGACGTAGTCAACATCATAGATCGTGAATGGAACAACGAAGTCAGGCGACAACGAATGATTGACGATATCATTTATGATCTCGATATTGGCGAACGATTTAAGGACTTGACCGGAATTACGTAAGGGACTAAATACTTTTTTTTAGCCCGAGTCAGGGTTTATGTTGTCTTTCCGTCTATTGTAAAACTTATCCAATTGACTTGAAATTTTGCACACATGCTGAATATGCAAAATTTGGAATCAAGTTGTTTGAAAGATGAGCAAAATGTGTCGAAAAATAGCGCTGGTGATAACCCACCGCAATTACTTATTAATAATAGCCTGACTTGGGCTAAAGTTTGCACTGTGGATTTTTTACTTTTATAGAATTGCCATAAAGTTTTAATGCGTTTCCTTCAATTAATAAATAGGTTGGGCGCCGCAGTTGCAATTTTGATCGTGGTCATCATCATCCCAAACTTGGTCATACTTCTGGTCATATTTACGTTCTGCTATTGCTGCCAGTGTGGTGTCTTTCAGAAACCTAAATCAACCACGAATTTCGTACACCACCAGCCACAGACTTACGGTAAGTAATTAATTAATAAAGTGCAATTAAGTAGAATAAGTTTTCACGAGTTATCAATCGTGCATTTTTCCAGCAGCCCCCAGTCCTGCATACGCCCCACAAGCAAGTAAACCTGTAGGACCTGCAGTACCACCGAAACCACAGCACAATTGTAAGATGCGAAGTTCAAACTGTTTAATTTATGAATTACAATCATAAATAGTTAAATTTACATAATTAAATTTAATTGATAGACTCGCCAAGTCCTCCACCATCCTCTGGGATGTGGCCTTGGGGGAAAGAAGGTAAAAATATTTTATTGATAAAATTGAGACAATTTTGAAATGTTAATATTTCCGAAATATATGAATAGACGGAAACCAACAACAAGGAATCCAAAATCAAGGGTACAACAGCCAGTATTAATTAAATCTTCCTCGAATTTATGTATCCATCAAGCGGAATGACCTCGCCCTAAACTAATTGTAAGCATGTAAATTCACCCTGACGAATGTTTAAAATATAAGTAAATGAATTTCCTAAGAATTGTACACTAAATTTTTTTCTACGAATAAAATAAATAACTAATGCTGATAACGAAATGAAGGCTGTAATTGTGTCATGATTAAGTTATGAGAATTTATTTACTGATAGATAAGGTACATAAATACGTAGTAATATGGTGTGGGATTTATTTATGAGTCGCCTGACGAGTAGGTATCCCTGCACCAGTACGGATTAACTTGACTCGTATGGTAGATAACCCATTGTGACAAGTCTGCATGATCAAAATAATTGTGCATATTTGCATACCTACATATTTCATGAAACTAAGAATTTAAAACTTATCTCACCCGTTAATTTAGAGTAAATTCCGGGCGACTTTCTTCTCGCGCATCCAGCCCCAAAAGACACTACGCCGATTTGGCTTTTAATTAATTAATTGGTCAATTAAAATTAAATTCCTAATTTGATTAAGTTAAAATTATTTTATTGTATTTTATTAACCGGTATCTATTCGGCGCCTCCTGATAAACTAGAGGTCCCTGTCATATAAAAATATTTAGAAACGGGTTAAATCTTGTCAAAATTCTCGCAATTTTTAATTCGTTCTTACTCCCGAGTCACCCTGTTAAACGATATTTCAAAAAATTATCATGTTATCGAGTACAATTTATTTTTTTTACGGTACCAACCGTGCAAGCGTCTCTTCCACCTTCAACAAACCCAGCACACAGCATTCGATCTAAAATTGATCACATTATTTAAATCCTGGTACATATTTCAAGTTGACCATCAAATTAAAAATTTACCCGTCAGTTTAAACTTAGGCGTCATTTCGACACATTTTTCAAAATCGAGGATCGGCATTCCTTCAAGTTTCTGAAGTTTTCTCGTCGATGCACCAGCTTTCTCGTGGGCTTTTCCCCATCCTATGCACTTACATATTTACTGGCTCAATTATCCTTTGTGAACTTATCTGAAGAACATTTACCTACCAGCCACAGTGACATTAAGTCCGGTAAAAATTTTCTTGTAATTGCCCACCCTCGGGAGACAAATTGGCGTGGGTGCATTCATGGAAGATAAATCAATCTTGGGTTTGATTTGAACCAGTGCAATGTCATAATCATACCTTCAACAAATAGTGATTTCAGTTTTATACATAAGTTCACACGTTACTAAATTTGTATATTTTTAAATTGGTAGTCTCAAATGAAAAATGGTTCACCTCACTTTTTGGTGTAAAGTGGATGCAAGATAACCCTCTCGATTTCGTAGCGTTGTGCATGTTCATCTTTGTCTGATTTCTCCTTCTTGTCCCAACCTGGCCCTTGTATGGACCCTTTCTTCCTGAAATGTCAGACCGTTTGTCGGAAATTGTTTGAAAACTTAACTCTGTTTTCATTTAACAGAAAAACCTCGTTATTAGAGTATTGAGTACCCTAGAATGGCGTCAGCATCTGCATTATCGAGGTAGAGGAGATCTAACAAATCTGCGTGGAGTATAACGTCTAAATCTTGTGAAGTGTAATTCGTATTGAAGAAACAGTGAGAAGCTGTAAAAATTCGTAATCAGTGTTTCGTTTTAGAGGTTTAAAACTACTTTTGGACGACTGGACATCGTCATAAAGGTCCAAAATCGGAAAATGGGGTAAAATTTTACAAGTTCTCTATTAAAGGCTTTTACACAAATCTATGTATCACAGTGGGACAATCTGATATGTAATCTCCCATTTTGGAGCACTTTTGTATGTATGTAATACGGCATGGTTTAGAAAATGTCTTAATTTCTCGTAAGACAACGTGTTAAATAAAAGTTTTTCCAAATTTCGTGATATTACACGCTGACAAAATGCTGGAATTTAATGGGAGATTATATATCGATTTGCAAAATTTACAGGAGCTTGTAAAATTTTATCCCATTTTCCAATGTTGAACAATTTAGGATATTTTGGACGTCCACAATTATTTTGCACAGTTGTACACTTTGGACAGCGTCCAAACAGATTTGGGGCAGCTTGGCGAAAACAATGATTTAATGTTACAAAAACGTCCTCAATGTAAAATTGTTGTTGCGAATTATGTATGTATTGATTGATTGAATTTGTTTTTACATAAATACGGTTGGAAGCTTCTTTTCCGAGTGGTATTAATAAATACGCACATGAAAAAACCTTTTTTTGCAAATCTATCCACACCCCACAGATTTGTAATTTTCTAATTAATTTTGAGCGTGATACCACGAATTTTGGGAAAACTTTTGTCTTAACGTATTTTCTTATGAGAAAATACGAGATTTTGTAAACCATGCCTCATTACACAACAAAATGCTCAAAAATGAATGGGAGATACGATATCAAAGAACTGGTAACATTGCGCTCCATTTTCTATTTTGCAAACATTTGGACATTCCGACGTCCAAAACTTGGTGTCCGAAACTGGTTCAAATCTATTTTGATTGATCGGCTGTTCAAAATTATATGTAGGGTAGAGACGTGCCATAATAATATGTATGTTTATTACCAGTTAGTATCCATCTGTGCTACGAAAAAAAATATAAGCTATTTCTTGAACTCATAATTACTACGAGTATGGTAATAAATCCAATAATGACACCTGTCGTTAATGAGCGACCCCCCACAAACCGGAGACCTCGTCCCTTTCTGTACAATGGCAGCAATCCAGGGAAATTCATTTTCACCGGCATCCACTCCACCCACAATTCTGTCCTCCTTATTCTGATAGCCACAAACTGCAATGTGGCAAATAATTTGCATATGTTCCTCTCTGAATCTTACCCAGTCTCACTCACCACATTGATTCACAATTTTCATCTTGGATTCCACTTTCTCCAATGGCACGACTAAACATTTGTTTTGCTCTTATAACGGAGGCCTCCCAGCGCATGCTCACAAATATTGCTCAAACTAGTGCGAGCTGACACTATAGTGTCAGCTCGCAAATTAAATTGGTATAAAATTTGCAAAATACACAGAGATATTTGTATCCAAAAAGAAAAAACGCGACCTAAAGTTGACAAATTTGAGACTTTCCACTACACATTTTCTCCTCTTCGGACGGAAATATCTCGGCAAACCTGCTCATTGGGTTATCGTGTAAAATTTCGTATTCGTATTCGTTTCGTATTAAATACGAAATTTGCTAATAGCTATAGCTAAATTTGTGATCGATTGATACCAGTTTGCTCAAAATTGGAGAGTATACGTTGGAGACCTCCATTGTTAGTCCAAATAAATGCATAACAAAATGTAACAAAATGTGTAGGTAGGTACCATCCTTATCCTCCTCCTTTTGACATCTGACCCTGCATCTGAACCCGGTCTTGGTCTGGGTCAGATTTTTCGGGGAGGTCTTTATCACCACGTAAATATCTCTCCCAGCACCCGTAGCTTTCACCGGGTAGAGAAAGTTCATTCCGCCGCACCACTTTTGCTCCCCACCAAGCCCATCCGTGATGAGGAGGTACTCGTTTGCGCACCTGATTTAAAACATGCAATTATGCAAAAAAATATGTACTGCTGTATTGAAATTCAGTGGCCGCGGAAGTCGTGGGGACATCTGGCGACATTTAGATTGTAGGGAGGGGTTTATATAACATGGACAGGCGATAGGGACATTGAATAACCGTTGGGACATTGCCCCTCTGTCCCCACGTATCCGCGGCCACTGTTGAATTTTTTTAGAGCCGTACGGAGCTCCGAGTGAACTTCGCAGCTCAATCTTTCCTGGACATTCCATAATTGGGACGCATTTCTCGGACCCCGTGAATGAAAGGTGACACGTAAAATTTTCCGGATACTTTCCCTTCCCGTAATTTGGCGAGGTGAAATTTACTTCGCCCGTTAATTCCAAATTCCACGCCAAGTTACAGCTGTCTCCGAAGAGAGCTTGTGTATTTTTTACCAAGGCGTCGTTCGTGTATAACTTTTGTCGCGCAGCGTCTGCGTAGGGGTCCTCGGAAGCGAGAAAGTCTGCCTTCACTTTGGCCGCGGTTGCATCGCTAATCTCGATGTCGCCCTAGTTCGTAAATAATTTGAAAATAATTGTTCTTCAATTACTATTTTGTTTCCTTTCTTGCTAAATTTTTTGCACTGGAAAGCAAGCCACGCAAGAAATGCGAGGTGCAAGAAACTGCAACAAATACGTCGTTTCTTGCGCCTTGCTGGTCAAAATACCTGCAAGAAACTACTTTCTTTCAGTCATTTCTTGCACGTGTTACTTGCACCCGAAATACTGTTAATATGTTAATATACGGTTATGATTTTGTTTCAAACCTGTCCTTGAACGAGTGAGTAGTTGTAAATCACTAAAAAAGCAAGGAAAAAAAATGAGAGCATTATTATTCTCGTCGTAGTTCAAGACTAACTGGACCCACGTATTCATAATATTTAAGAAGTAGCGCATATGCAACCTGATGTTTGTTTTATGTGTTTATGATGTGAACAATAAGCTATTTAAATTAATTAATAACATATGTGTATAGTACCGTAAAGGTTTGGCCCATTAAGATTATGCAATTTCTCTAGTGTTGGGCACAGTACAGTGATTGCCAAAAATAGCGACTAGAGTAGTCAAAATGCTTTAATGACACGCGCGTCACCAATTTTTTTAGAACATGCAGAATGCAAAATAAAAATTCTTTCCATTCTTTTTTATGATAATACTTTATTTTTTATATCATTTCAAAGTTTGATTGATTCACATTTTTTGCAAAAATAAACATTTCTTTCTTCTTTTTCAATCAATCATTGTTAGCTCATAATTTAGCTTATTTATAGATATTATTAATTATGGGTGAGTGAGTGGGTGTAGGGATGTCTGATTTACATTTATTTCCAATAATCAGTAAATATTTCTTGTCACGTCGACAAAGACGTAAACCCAAAACTCCACCCACGCCCACGCATTCTTTTAATAGAAACATCCCGTAAACGGACGATAGAATTTTAGCAGTTATATAAAACGTGTCATAATTAATAATTAATTTTTACCTCATAACTTCAAATAGTATTCGAGAGCATCCAGCGCATTTCATTCCTTAAATATAATTCTTATGTAATTAACAATCAGTGATTTACACATCGATAAAATTATTTATTTAATGGGTAATGACTTAAAATGTAAAACGAAAATTCGGGAGTCTACTTTCTAGTCAAATTCGAAATTTTGATCATAACATGTTGCACCAGTTATTGAAAATTAGCACAGTTCAAGATTTTATTTAGATAGCATTGTTCTTTTTAATTGTATAAAAAAGCAAATTAAATTAAAGCTTTTTTCAGAGTATTATTGAAGCAATGCGTCAATTTTCAAGTATTCTCAATTTTTAGTTACATTAATTAAGCTATTTTCATAATGTTTTAGCACTCGCTGTCATACATTCTGACACACACAAGGCACTTATTCTCATCACCAATTAGTCGTCCCCAAACAAATTGATGTGATACAGATACAAACACGATTTAGCAAATTAAATAGCATTTTACTACGTTACACTCTGCTCTGCTTTGCTTCCATGTTATGAAGTCATCCATAACTTTACTCATTACAGACAGCACCATGATAATCAGTGTCACAACTTTGGTAACGTAGGACTCGATGGCTCATCGTCAAAATCCTCAAAATCAGCACGTTTCTAATCGTTTCTCGGCTCTGGAATGTATTTTAAAATTCTGGACGACGAATTTATAGAGCAAATTGTTGCCTATTTGTAAAAAAATTTGACAAAAGAAATCTCAAGCTTAAGAAGTCCAGAAAACTTGGAACTCATCGAAACTGGCTCAAAAAACTCACCTCCATTCTATGAATCAACAAATTTGTCGTCCAGAATTTTAAAATAAATTCCCAGAGCGCAGAAATTACTAAAAATGTCCTGATTTTGGTGTTTCGTCATCAAGTCCTACGTTAAATAAAATAGCAAAATAACGAGAATCGTATTACAAAGGTTGTGATTAGTTTAGCTTATAAATAGTTGGCAGTTGTCAAAGGTAGAGAGAGTATTATAGATAAATCAGCGCATCCTTACAACTACATACCTAATGACGGACAGATTTCGATATTTATGTACATTTGAAACTTTCCGACGCATACATATCATCTATCCATCTAATTACTTATTAGTTACGGAGTGGTTGTGGTTTATGTGCCGACTTGACGGTGAAAGTGAGGACTTTCTACGTCCAGAGACATTGACGATGGAGAGGGAGCCGTACATAAGTACATACATAATTATTTATCACTTTCCGTGTCCACATCAGTGCCGGGGTCGTGGTCCTTCGCCAAATCGATTTTTGGGTTGCGGATAAAATTATGAAATCAATTTCGAAGCTGTGGTGGCAACGTCCGATGAAGGCGATGAAAACCACCTACAAGGAAAGTGTACAAAACAAGACCGTCATCATCATCGTCATCTCCAATCCATTAATCTTTCGTGTTGTACTTCTACTTTCTCTGCTCAGACTTTCACTCTCTCTCTTTTTGATCTCTATCTATCTTTCTTTTGGAGTTATAAATATCAAACAACGTGTCAAAAGCAGTGTTTCGGGGGAAAAAAGTAACCACGTGCAAGAAATAACGGGAAAAAGTGGTTTTAGCGGGAATTTGGACCTGTAAGAAATGCAAGTTGCAAGAAACTATGCCCCGCCGCTATAATTCATACGGCACGTGGCTAGATGGCGCATATTTCTTGAACTTTCTCCCAGTTTCTTGCACCTCGCATTTCTTGCGTGGCTTACTTTACAATGCAAGAAATGTGTTTAGCAAACCCCGCAATGAACGAAACACTGGTCAAAACTGACAAAATATATGTTTCCTCAAAAAAAAACATAGGAAGAAGAAACAGGCCCAATAAATGTACGAAACGTACCAAAAATATGATGAAAGTAGTAGAAAAGAGAGATGATTATGAATGGGTAGTAGCAGTAAGTATATACGATGAACAGACAGTAGAGTAGGCAATTTTTGGTTTTTAGTTATTTTAGCACGTGCCATTTTCACCAAAGTCTCGACTATCATCTCTCTTCAAAATTCGGACGGATCCACGTGTTAAACTTGCAAAAGTGACGGCACCACTGCTCACGGCTGTAGAAAAAAAAACTCCGTCAATTTTGACACCCACGAATTTGACCTTATCCGAATTCATTTACCTCTCGGAGGTGGCGGCGGGTCGGGAATGGAAGGACTCGAAAAACCACTGGAAGAACTCAATTCTTTGTTCGGATTCATCCTAAATGTCGACGAATGGCTGGAATGCCCGCCACCCGTGCATTCCCGCAGCTCTTGGACGATGTCGTCGTCATAGTCGTCCGTCCCTTCGTCATCGTTGTACAAGGCGGGGACGGAGGTGGACGCTCCGCCGGGCGGAGGACGAAACCCGTGGCGCAAGTCGGGATGTGACCTCGGCCTGGATAAGGTTGTCGGGAGGGGAAGCTGACTCTCCTCATCGGACTGGGACCCGTTATGGTCATGCTTATTTTCACACGATCCTGACGTCGGTAGGCTGGAAAATGTGACAAAATACCGCAAACATTAATACATGTGTAGGTACAGGGAAAAGTCGAAATACTGACGGAAGTGGATGTAGAATCATTATCGGAGGGCGGATATGTATTTATTTTCAGCTTTTCATTTGATGACGACCAACGGTCAAACTTTGTGGTTACGTTCCCTAACTTGCATAGAGCATAAAAATTTCAAAATATTTTTAAAAGTCACATATTTCTAGGTTTTCAGACATATTTATGAATATTTCCGTTATTATTCGAAAAATATGTAAATGTTTTAGATATTTTTTTCAAAAATGCATATATTTTGCAAGCATTATGGGAGACGAAATTTTATTGCTCAAAGAAATTGGATAAAAAAAATCCAGAGCATTATATTTAAGAACAAAAATTTCGGGATAATTTTAATTTTTATGATTTTGTTTCATACAAATTTCGTACATATTTTGGCACTATTTTCGCAAATTTCAGCGATTTTTTTCCTCAATACATATCCACCCCCTGATCATCATCGTCATCATCATCATCATCCCGTTGATTCACTCTACTTTGAGCTGTCCAACCCAACCGTGTATGTAGCTGGCCGGACTGACTGAGGAGTGAGTAAATAATGCAGCAAAGAGAAAGCTAACCAAGCAAAACCAGCGAGTGAAAATGGGACAGTGGAAGCATGCCCACTGAAATTTCAAATTTATGCTGGCTGTCCTTGCTAAATCAAAATTTATGTCTTCTCCCAATAACGGAGTGGTACCACTACTACTCGTTCGTAATAAGGGAGCCGCAATAAAACAGAGTCAACTACTACTAAAATTATTGTCCCGAGCTCCTCTCCCCCAGCCGTAAGTAGTGAGTGGTACGTATATATTTCCCCAGAATTAGTGTCACTCTAACTCAAACTCAAAACTGCTATGTGGCTGCTTTCAAGTATACGATACTCCTCGTAGTCACTGCACTTTGACAGATTTAATTCCATCCCACATTGCCTACATGCTACTAACAAGTACATAACTGGGGCAGTAATAACGGAGGAGGAGTAGTAAATAAAAATGCTCAAGTATAAATATATCTGAAAAAAACTTTCCATTTGATTTTCTGACTCTAAACCCGGTTTTTATAAGGGGATAAATAAACGCATAGTAATCAGTGGTACGACCGACGCAGTGTTTCGGTTCTGGTGGGTTTGCTGGATTTCTTGCAGAGCAAAGTAAGAAATGTGAAGGAATGCGAGGTGCAAGAAACTGGGAGAAAGTGCAAGAAATGTGCGCCATCTAGCCACGCGCCGTATGAAGGATAACGTCGGGGCGTAGTTTCTTGCGCCTTGAATTTCTTGCAGGTCAAAATACCCTCAAGAACCACTTTCCGCGGATTCCATTTCTGTATTTGTCCCGGAAAACGAGGAAAAATAAAACCCCGGAAAATTTGGACAAGCAAAATGTCCCCCAACGGTAACGGTCCCGGCGTTTTTTAACCTATTGTTCGTCTCGTTTCCCGGTTTTTGTCCCCAACTTTCCCAGCAAAACGCGTTCGAACGTTTGCATAAAAAATCGACCCCACGTCTCTTTCTTCCCGTTATTTCTTGCACGTGGTTACTTTCACCCGAAACACTGCTCCGACTACTACTGCCTTTTACTATGCTAACTACATCGTTCATAAGAAATGTGCTCACGTGTGCGTTTTTTGGTGATAAATAGCCAAGAAAATTAGAAGATTGAGCAAAAGGAGGCAGCATCCGACGCCGATCGTGACGCCGAGCGCGGTCCCGTAGGAGTGGTAGTGGGCAGCTGCGAGTTGGCGGACGAGGTCACGGTCACCACTTGCACCTCCCGTGCCTGGTCCACCCTCCAACATTCCGGTGGAGTTTGTCGTGTTGGGGGGACATTCGGACGTGGACATGACGGCTGGAGAGAGGGTGGGGTACATAATGGCCCCTTTATTAGCACCACCTCCGTAGTCTTCACCGTCTTCTGCGGCCCCACCACCTTCTCCGTCGCCAGCCTCGGGGGGCTTACCACCTTCACGGGAGGAGGCTGAAAAGTGGAAAAAATCGTTACAAAATAGGACAAACTCCTGACAATGGATGTCTCCCAGTGGATGCACTCTGATTTTTTGTCAATCGATCACAAGTTAAAATAGTATTAAATTTGCAAAAAACACAATCTCCCAATGTTTCGCAGATATATTTGCATCCGAAGAGGAGAAAACTCGCAGTAAATCTGGAAAGTGCAAAGTTTGTCTGCTTGAGGGCACGTTTTCTCCTTTTCGAGCACAAATATCTCTTCGCCAAACCTTAACATTGGCAGATCGTGCCTTTTGCAAATTTCGTATTAACTAAATTTGTGATATATTGACACTAGTTTGCCCAAAATCGTAGATCATACACTGGGAGACCTCCATTGTCACTAGAGTTCACCACACATACCTGAACTGTGGCCCTTGTTCAGTATTGCCGAACCAGCGGCAGGATACGCCAAGAGATCCTCTCCCGTCTGATGCTTCAACTGTTCTCGAACCACACCTGGAATAAAATATGTATGGAAATAGGTTAGAATTTTATTAGAAAAACACGATCGTCATCATTTTAATTCATTCCTGGCTATAAATAGTTCTACGTTTGTGAAGGTATCAATTTAATTTATGAATGAATATACATATTTATATGCGCACGTCTGTCCTTCGGTAGGTATGTGCCAGATTCGTCTTTTACACCCATTTTAGCATATTGTACTCCCCACCAATCTTTTGTTGGGGCACTTAATCGCATCTAATTCACCATATTTCTTCTTCTCCGTGACAGAAATGGGTATTCATTCATGAAATTCATTCATGCTCGGCCATAAAATACATAAAATAAAAATGGGGACTGTCTCCTTCCCAACACTGCATAAATCACGCCGGCTTCGCGTGTAACTTCCGGTTCCTCCTAATTCCTCGCTTCCCTCCGCTGCCAGAGAATGGCACAATTTCACGCTTATTTCGAAATAATAGGAATGAGGGACGCCGCCAACATGCGAGCGTGGGTTTTCAAACGCAACATGTGTCCTACATACGGACGTACGAACCCAAAGAATTAAGTTTTATGTAGCGTTGTCTCTTCGAAATTGGCAATACTGTATCTGCAAAATCTTTCGCAGGCAACAAATGCAGGGTACACATTCCTCGAGCAGGAAAGAAAAATGGGTTGAATTGAAAATGCAAAACTCTCCGCAAGAAGCAAACGGGTCTTCTTTATATATTACGGAGTGTATACGGAACCAGTGTTTCGGGGGGAAGTAACCACGTCCAAGAAAGCGTTTTTTTGCGGGCATCTTCACCTGCTTGAAATTCAAGGCGCAAGAAACTACTTCTCGCCGCAATACATCATAGATATGGCTAGATGGCCCTTTTTTCTTGCATTTCTGGCGTGACCTGCTTTTCAGTGCAAGAAATGTAGCAAACCCGTAAGAAACTAAACACTGGAAAGTAACCATGTGCAAGAAATAACGTGGAGAAAGTGGGGTTTTGCAGTTATTTTGATCTGCAAGAAATGCACGTGGCAAGAAATTAGATGGCGCAGATTTCTTGCACTTTCTCCCAGTTTCTTGCACCTCACATTTCTTGCGTTTCTTACTTTGAAGTGCAAGAAATGTAGTAGAAATGTAGACCCGAAACCCTGGATGTATGCATATGCACAGAGCGATCTTCCCTTTAACTGGAGAAAGTCTAGCAGACAAGGTTTTAAAAGTGGGGAAAGAATTCAAAAATTCTACACACACACACATTGCTTTGCTCTCTTTCTCTCTGCTTTGTCAGGGTGTGCATAAATTTCGACTGTTCAGAGGTTGACAGGAAATAGGGAGCTCTTATTTCACAACACATTTCTTTCCTCCTCTTACAAAAATGGGATCCATTTTAAACCCGTTATTCTTCTAAGATATATTTATATTCAGAAGAAGAAAAACCCCGTATTGCGAGAATCTATAGAAAATTCTTCAATTTACTTTTTCTCCCTGATTTATTCTTTCCAGTGTGACATGAATTTGCATTTTGTATTAAAGTATATTTTCTTTGTGTTGTGTTATTTTGACCTAATTTCAATTTCAATGGGTGGATATGTACTAATGGATGGTAAGCAGTTACCTTCATAGAATTCGGGACGTTCATCTCTAAAATTGTGGTGCAGCATGGCCACATCGGATCCTCCGGATTGATGGAGTTGCGGGATTAGGTCTGTTAACAGGCAGATATTATTATACAGCAAATGTATAAATTTATGTAGCTGTCACTAATTTTTTGGGTGTAAGAAAGTGGTGTGACTTACTGAGCCAGAGGGCCATTTTATGTCCTCGGTAGTGACTCTTCATTCGAGGCTCGCCGGACCCTGGAAGAGAAAGAATAGTGTAAAAGTTAGTAATTATCTTTAGCAAGGATTTTTGCGAAGAATTGCATACAAAATTATGTAGGTATGTAAATATGTATGTATGTCCATTAACTTATAGATTAATGTCCAGAGGTCCTGAAGCTTTAGTGTAATTTTCATTCAAAGTTACTTAATTTAAGCCAAAACCCTTACAAACTTAATAACTAGTTAACACACTTGATAACAAGATATCTTGCCATCATCTCATCATCTGATCTCTGTCTGGTTTCATGTATGAGGATTCCTTGACTTTTTGAACGGAGCAGGACAACCTTTCGATTTCCCACTACTTTTTTTTATTCAGAGAAAGTGCTAGAAAGTTGCCACTGAATATTGTCAGTGGTTCCTGCGAGTGAACGAATTCTGCACTTTCACTCATTCCAAAAGTTGTTACAAAAGCAGCCACACCCGATTTAAAAGGCCACCACAATCATCGTCATTTATGTATTACGATCCTTCTTCCTACGTTTTCTCACCCTCGCGGTAAACGTTTCTTCATGCATTTCCTTCCGTAATAGTTTTTAGTATTTTCTACCAGATACTTACACTCAATCTCAATTTCCAACTGAGGAGAGAGATTTGAGCCTTCATCCACGAGATTTTCTTGACGATCACTTTAGAAGAACTGTGAATTAAGCTGGTGCCAACAACAAGGTTCTATATTTTCGAAGCTCTCTTTGCTCACCAACTTTTATACTTTGCCCGAATTATACAATATTAATCTCTCCTCTTGTGAAGTGAAGTGGCTGCTAAAGTCGGATTAATTACAAAAGTAACAATAATAATTAGGCCTTCAAGAGACGGGGAGATTATCATTATTCTGATATTACACTCTCCTCACGACCAGTGGCCGCGGAAGGGTGACGACAGGGGGACGATGTCCCCATGGTTATTCAATGTCCACATCATCTCCCCATGTTAGCTAAACCCCTCCCCCCTCCCCTATCCCACAATGTTAATGTCCCCACACCTTCCGCGGCCACTGATGTGTTCCTTCCCGGCTCAAAAAGTCAAGCTAGCCCTCAAATCTACTCCTAGTATACGAACTTGACTAGATTAAACTGGCTGAATTATCACGCCAATCTCCTCTCCTCCTCCTCCTTCCGTGGTAATTTGGTGTAATAATCTCTCGTAAAAAGTAGTCTTCCGGTCCTCCGAGATACGTGGCAGAGTGAGCGTTAAGCACAATAAGGTTATCTCACACAGTGGCCGCGGAAGCTTAACAATGTCCCCACAGTTATTGGATGTCCCCATCATCTACCCATGTTATATATGTAAACCCAGCCCTCCCCTACCCTATTATTTACCCGGTTAATGTCCCCACAGCTTCCGCGGCCACTGATCCCACATGACGACCGTGATACTGTCACCTCGTCCTCCTCGTATGTAAAGTAATTAGACATAACGAGACGAGGATGGTGCAGTAAACACCTCGCTTTTATTATTATTTCGTGTTGTCTCCTGACCCCCGACCTTTGCCGGGGTGAGTGTGCAGTAAGTAATCGGGATGAATGAATCCGATTGGGCGAGATTAGGAGAAAGTGGAGTGGATGCGAGGACGAGGATGTGTTTGGTGGTGGTGGGGCGAGGTAAGTATTGCGACGAGAGGAACTTTGTCCATTATTTGGAGAAAGAGGGAAGAAAAGAGAATCAACATTAGCCGGGATCGTTTGGAGGGATCCTCATGGGCTTTCGACCTCGTTATTTTTACTCCAGTTAAATTGGAATGGGGGTTAAGAGTTAGGAACGCGAGTGACTGCACGGCCACTACCGACTGGCCCACAGTGTTTCGTTTGGGATGTCCGAAACTACTTTTGGTTAGACTGGACGCTGTCCAGGAGCGTCCAAAACTGTGCAAATTAATTTTGGACGTCAAAAATGTCAAAAATTGGAAAATGGGATAAAATGCTACAAGTTCTTTATTTTTTTGCAAATTTACATATGCACAGATATGTAGATTTTCTCCCATTTCTTGTCTCCCATTAATTCTGAGGATTTTGATTGATTTATAATACCACAAAATTTGGAAAACCTTTTTTCACATTTTTTCTTATCAGAAATTAAGAAATTTCTAAACCATGGCATGCTACACACCAAAATGTTTAAGATTAACGCGAGATTATATAGACGTCAACGGTTTAATGGAAGATTCAATAATACGAAGTTGTAACATTTTGCTCCATTTTGGACACTCTTGGACATTTTGAACATCCAAAATTCGGTGTTCAAAATTGAGCAAAACCGGTTTTGGACGGTGGTTAAAACCACGACGAAACCCTGATTACCGAGTCTAAATAATGGTCATACTATAATGTGAGAAAGTCCTATCTTGCCATTCTCCTTCCCAACAAGGACAACTAACTACTCGACTCGATAAAATCCTCGGTCAAATACATAAGAATCATTTTACACATTTAGCCCCCATTTTTTTTAAAGATGACTTATTCGAACCCCATTACACACCACGAGTTGTAATTAAAACATGAAAATGGACTCCCCTCCAGTTTCCCTGTACATACACGCAATTCCTAAAAGGCCACATTTTTCTCTCTCCTTTGACACATAATTACACATTTTATGTAACCGTCTTAATATTTATGATGCTCAGCGGCACAACAAAATCCACTAAGATTCCATTAAATTACTATTATCATAATTTGCTCAATTTCACAGATGGTAAAAATTAAATTATTTATTGTACTTAAGTAGCATTGTTTCCCCTAAAATAATTTCTTCCCCAGAAAAGAAAACTTGTCCCATAAAAGGATAACTTTTACTCAAATAAATAAGCAGCAAATTGGAAGAAATGGGAGTCGTCTTTTCAATTAATATTATTTTTACGAGGATCCCCTGCGAATCAAATGTAAGGCTTTTCATGTATTTAGTGCTTAGTTTCTTACGGGTTTGCTACATTTCTTACAGTGCAAAAAAAGAAATGCAAGAAATGGGAGGTGCAAGAAACTGGGAGAAAGTGCAAGAAATATGCCCCATCTAGCATCTCGCCGTATGAAGTGGCATAGTTTCTTGCACCTTGCAAGGTCAAAATACCTGCAAAAAACCACTTTCTTCCCGTTATTTCTTGCAAGTGGTTACTTTCACCCGAAGAACAGATTATTTTCCAAAGAAGTAGACCTTAATGTTTGGCAATAATGTTATGCCCACACTGTTTTCATGAGCTGCCTAAAAAGCGAGAGAAAGTTCTGTATTTTTCTCGATTGCTTTTTATGTGTCAATCCTAATTTAGCCCTGGATGGGGTTAAATTGCCTACGACGTTCATAAAATGCGGAACCAACGAGATTAACTGTGACAGGCGACACATGTTTGGGAATTTATGAAAAGAGAAAAGAACACTGACGGGTTTCGTGGTGGTGGTGGTCGGGGCGAATTGTCAATAATATCAAAACAGCGACCAAAAACGTCTTATTAAGAAGAAACGATTATACAATTTTTCGAACAAAACCCTGACTAAATTTTCAACTCTGCTTTCTCTTCTTCATAAATTCCTGCAGACTCGGAGGAATCAACTCATTCATAAAACAGAGTCTGATAGAAGAACCATGTATGCACAGTGGCCGCGGAAGCCGTGGGGACATGTGGGGACACTAATATTATCAGATAGGGAATAAAAGGCCTTGTATAACACGGGCGGATGATGCCGACATCAAACAACCGGGGACACATTTTCCCTCTGTTCCGCGGTCACTGTACATGCAAACATAGATCTCTGCTCTGACTGAGAGAAGAAATCACCCCGAAAATTTTATGAAGAACGCGACCAATAATTCAAGCGAGTTTCTTTCATTCGCTGTCTCCAAAGATGATAAACTGCACCCAAGCGACCATGCCAGCCAGCGAGGAGGGAGAGACTGCTTTCACCCAAAACCCAACACCACGCTTTCACCATGCCAAAACTTCTCCCCAAAGAAAGTAAATAAGTAAGTTGTTGGTTTCATCCGTCCATTCATTCACGCCACGCCACGGAGCTATAGATTAGGTGGTCGTGGTGCTGGGTGCTTTGATTTCATTCAGCTAACCACCCACGTCGAATGGGCTGAATGGACAGGAGAGAGAAGTCAGGGTGGTGGAAAATTAAGTCAAAATATTTTAGCACGTCGGAATCAATAGAGTTGAACCTCATAAATTGGAGATTCCGCAGTAGTCAAACTAAAAACTGGACAATTCCCTCTCGTCAAAAGAAAGTTGGGGAATTATTGGGTGGACCGATTTCTTAGAAGGACATGGACCATTGGTGGGTTTAACTCTCAACTGAAATGTGTTTAGGTGTCTGACTGATCCACTTTGTAATACAAGGTGTAGTGTGACGAATGATAATAAGAGGAATCAGAGGGCGGATATGGATTTACGAAATATATTTGATAAAAAATAATAAAATGGGCATTTTCGCAAAAATTAATTTTTCTGAATATAATTCTTTGGATTTTTGTTGTCGAATTTCTTTGAACAATAAATTTCATCTCGTATCATTAAAATATGTACAAAATAAACACTTGTATTTTTGAAAAATATATTTAAGATAGCTACGCATATTTCAAATACTAGGCAAAATATTTACAAATATATGTCTGAAAATCTAGAAATGTGATAATATGTGGAAATATTTCGAAATTCTTGTGCTCCGTCGTCATCGATTGAAAAAGTTGAAAATAAATACATATCCACCCTCTGATGATAATCTTAAGTATTCTGCTTAAGGTGCAAAGGTCTTACCAATTTCCAGATAAAATTGATTAATAGGGTCGTACGAGTCCCAAAAGGGCAATTGAGCATCTTCGACGGATGATCCATCATACCCGCTGTTTGGATCCCTGCAAGTAAAATAAAAACAAGACGTGTATAAAATAAGGCTAATAATAACGACACCACGGTTTGATCACTCCTTGTCATCTTGATCATCCCTTTTCATTACGGAACGTCTAGTCGACTCTAATCTAATCCTGTTGTATCCATCCCCCAATAAATCCAATCTGTTCCTTCATTTCATGGCATCGTTAGCAAATTGATGCATTTCTCCTCAGAAGGGCAGTCTCCCAGTATATGCTCACTGACTTTTAGTAAATTAGTGTCAGTCGATTGCAAATTTAATTGGTATGAAATTAGCAAAATATATAATCTGTCAATGCTCAGGTTTGGCGGGATATTTGCATCCGGAGAGGGGAAAACGCACAGTAAATTTTCAGTGTAAAATTTGCAACTTTTAAGCAGCGTTTTCTCCTCTTCGGATGCAAATATTTCCGCCAAACGTGCCCATTAGCAGATCTTATTTTTGACAATTTCATCTTAATTACATTTGTGATCGATTGACACAAATTTACCCAAAATCTGCGAGCATCCTCTGGAAGACCTCCATTCTCAGGCTGTCTCAGAATCTGCTATATATCACCCATTTAACTGCAATTTACTCCTTTCCCCTCAAATTTTCCACCAGAATGAACAATATAGATAATTTATAGGTGGTGAAAGCATGGCAAAAATCTGCCTAATTAATAATTCTTGTAGCAAGTCAGGTCCACTTATTTAGGAAGTTGTTGGTCCATACGAATGTTCCCTTCTGCATTCACGAACTTGCAAAACTTGCCATTTCCTCTTAGGACGAATGTTTTTGTCGTAGGGATAAATTGGGGCTCGCATAACTACGCTGTCAATTTTATGGCTAAACATGGCATTCATTTTGCACATTAGTCCGACTAACTTTCTTTCTCCCTCGCTCTACATATTCTGGTTTGGTCTGGTCTGCGTTTTTTGCCACTTTTTTCGCCTTCCTCGCCATCTTCATTTTATGAAATATTATCCACACACACACATACAAACGGGAAAAGAGAGAGAACAAAGTAGCAAGTATTTTATTATTTTGTTTAGGAGAAGCAAGAAGGAAACTGCCAACTGCAGCAGTGCAGCAAGCAGTAAGTATTAAATGTGTGTAGTAGTAGTTGGTAGTTTCTTGGTGATGGTGGTGGTGGTGGCATTTTTGAAACTTTCTCCTGGGAAACTATGTAAAAGGATAATATGCAGCATTACATAATCTAGCCGAAAATCTGGACGGCTGTCTGTCTCTGAGAACTGAAAAGTGGGAGTCGGTTCTAAGCAGCAAGCAGTGTTTCGTTTCTGGCGGGTTTACTGGATTTCTTGAAATGTAAAGCAAGGAAAGCGAGAAATGCGAGGTGCAAGAAACTGGGAGAAAGTGCAAGAAATATGCGCCATCTTGCCACTTTCTACCCGTCATTTCTTGCACCCGAAACACTGCGGAGCAGTCATTCAGTCGGCTTCATTCACTTTTTTCTCCTCTTTCTTTCAACTTTTGTTCTTTCTTGATTCTTAAACTGAATGTGAAGAATCTTGAGAAAAAAGAAAGTTTTATCGTAAAAATCCAACCTTACTACTGCCTGCTATCCACATTAGCTGGAAACGTGACTTTTCCACGGGACTCTAAATTTGTCCCACTTACGCGACGACGACGACGGCCCATCAACTTAAACGGATCTTGTACAGCGTGCAGTTTACAAGGAAAGATTAGAGGGACGGAGAAAGTGGGAAATTAGAAGTGAAATGAAAAAGCGAGAATCTGAGAAAATCAGAGCGGATAAGTTTCTTTTGTCCTCGAGACAAAGTGCATTTTCGAGTAGCTTAAAACTTTTAATATGAAAAATGTTATGTAACGAATTATTGAATTGTTCAAGCAAAAACTCGACTCAAGAAGCGCAATATATTTATTTTAATCATATATTTATATCTTTCATCCTACATTTTTCCAGGATTTTTAAATAAATGTTGTGTACTACCCGAGTAAAAATTTGGACGGGGTTTTCTGCAAAAATTTCCCTAGATTTTCTGCACGAATTTGCCCAGATTTTCTACAGAAAAGCCGATTTGTGCAGAAAACTATGCACACACAGTTCTGCAGAATAAAACTTACAAATTTTCGGCAGGATTATGCAAAAAATACAATGTGCATCAAGATTTTGTCGATTACTGCAGAATTCGATGCAGTGATTCCTACTCGTTGCTGTCAAATTTTGTATTACAAGATAATCTATTTTAACCTGGCGTTAATTTTTTATAGAAAGAAAACAATGCAAAATTGTACAGGAGCAAAATCTACGGTCTAAAATGTCCTAGAAAATGTAGGCAAGTTGTGTACAACTTGTCCCCAAATTAAATAAGAGGATGTTCTACATTTATATTGTGTACATCCAAGTTCACTTCATGTACACGGGTTTTGTCATTTTCCTCCTTCTCCTGAGTCTTGTTCTGTTTAGCGAAAGGATTAAAAGCCAAGTTGCCGTACACACAGAAATGGGTTTCATCCTGATGAAGTCAAGTCTCCTTCTCCCCACCACCCGACTGAAAATGTGTTTAGTGCAGAGTTGAGCAGAACAGAGGCAGGCTTCTCGGTAAGACATTTTCTTCCGCCATTCGCATCTGCATCAGTTTGCATACGGACGGAATGTTGACAAAGGAATAAATTGAGGGGAACTAAGTTGGAGAAAGTGCGGATCTGATGATGCTACATGAAAGGCAGGCAGCAATTATCAAATCAGCAGAGAGAAAGGGAAGAACAGACGATCCTTCAGGAGGACCGATGGATACGCGGGACCAGTGCTTCGTTTCTGGTGGGTTTGTTACATTTCTTGCATTGGAAAGCGAGAAATGCAAGAAATGTGATGTGCAAGGAGAACTGGGAGAAAGTGCACGAAATATGCGCCATCCAGCCACGTGCGTATGAAGTACAGCGGCGGGGCGTTATTTCTTGCGCCGTGAATTTCTCCCAGGCCAAACTACCTGCAAGAAATCACTTTCTTGTCGTAATTTCTTGCACCCGAAACACTGATCCAAGAAATGTGAGGTGCAAGAAACTGAAAAACTGTAAGAAATATGCGCTATCTTGCAATACGCCCTACGAATTACAGCGACAGGAAGTAGTTTCTTGAATTTCTTACAGGTCAAAACACCCACAAGAAACCACTTTCTTCCCGTCATTTCTTGCAAGTGGTCGGTTACTTTCACCCGAAACACTGCCCCTAATACAAGTACGTTCGTACGTATGTAGCTCCTGCTGCTGCTTCTACGACTTGTCGACTAATGAGTGTTCCTCCATCGTTCTCCTCTCTCTCTCTCTCTGCCTCTTTCTCATCTGATGAATGGATTTACAGGAGAAAATTGAATCCCTAATTATTCATCTCTTCCTCGTCGTCCTGCACTTCTCACTAATCTGTAACTCTGGGAAATCCTCGAGATAAGATTTCGATCCAGGCGAAGAGAAAGGCAACCAAGGCATTTCCGAGAAAGCAACAACTGGGTTAAAAACTTTTACTCGACTGACGCCCTGAGCAACAAACAAGTAATAAGCAACGCAAGCAAGCAGGCTAACCATCGCAACCTTGGGAAGGGAGAAAGTTTTTAAAACAGGTTTCTTCACTTACCCCGAAATTATGAAATTAGTCAAATAGTGCATCAAGGATTTTGAAACTTTGGCATCATTAGCAGAAAACGAGGGAAGACTAGGTTCCATTAAGGCTTCCCGTTGCTGATGATAGGTCTTTTGGTCGAGCAGGGCGTGACCTGCCGCAAACTCGAGGAGGTCTTCGCTAATGCTTCCGATCCGCTGTAAACATGTGTGTACAAAATGTTTACAAGTTCAAACTCGGAAACTTTGAGTGTGTATTTACACACGGATCTGACAATGGATATTTCTTAGTGTACGCTCCCAGATTTTGGGGAAATTAGTGTCAATTGATCATAAATTTAATTAGTATGCAATTTGCGCAAGGTATGACCTCCTAGTTTGCACGTTTGGCAGAGATATTTGCATCCGAAGAGGAGAAAACTTTTTTAAAAATAAGAAAATTTAGAAAATTTGTCAATTTTAAGGCACGTTTCCTTGTCTTTGGATGCAGATATCTCTGTGAAACGTGCCCATTGGCAGATCATATCTTTTGCAAATTTCTTATTAGCTAAATTTGTGATCGGTTAACACTAGTTTGTTAAAGATCGGAGAGCATCCGCTGGGAGACGTCAATTGTGAGTGGATATGTAAATATATCCATAATTCAGAAAGAAAGTGTTTACGAATTATGTAAGAAGCACTCACATTTGGATAAACTGAGGAATCCGGCTCGTACTGGAAATGGAAGAGGAACGTCTTGGCATTCGCTTTCGCGGAATGCATGGAAGCCACTTGAATTAACGGAGCTACCGTCAGCCCATCAGAGAGTATGTTTAATATCGAGTCTCTCACGTCGATAAAGTCTGCGCAAAAATAAATACCACACGCTTTAAGATATGTTACCGTTTTGAACAATAAATGCACTCTGAATTCCACATGAAGTAAATCGTGCTAACAATGCGATGATGCCAGTGGGCTCGTTCTGATTTTCATAAGATAACAAAAATTATGAAGCCTTACATAAATAATTAAACGTATGTTTCTGGAAATTTTGTATAATTCTCACTTTAATCGAAGTTATAACGGAATCCGTAATCGAGAATTTGCATTTTTATCACTCATGCATTAAAAATGTCAAAGCCTCAAAATTTCATGAGAAAAATGCAAATTCCCGATTGCGGAATCCGTTATAACTTCGTTTAAACTTTAAAGTGAGAATTATTAAAAATTCCCGAAACATGCGTTTATCTATCTAAAGCTACGAAATTTTTGTGGTTTACAAAATCGGAGCCTCTGGGGTCATCGCACCGTAAACCCAGAGTAACGTTAACTTGATTAAGAAAAAGATTAACTCTGGATTTAGTATAGCTTGTTTAATCTCAAATTCAGCATCCATTAACTTTTCAAAAGAAAGGGTAACACTATTTTTAAGAGTGCACGCACACATGTATAAATAAATCCTTTATAATTCACCCCTCTCTCCCTTTGACTACTCACCTTTCCTCGGTTTTTCCCAGTCTGTATACTCATTTTTAATCGTCGAGTAAATCTCATTTAAATGAAAGACAAACACATTTCGCACAAACGTCCTCAAAACACGGTCACGTTTCCCTTCACTCAGCCCGTCCTCGATGTCTTCCGTGTTCAGCTCGCCGAACGACTCCACCGTCGAGGTCCCGATGAGCAGCGGAAAGCGGGAAAAGCGCCCCGAGTTGTCAAACTTCATTTCCGCCACGAAGTCCGACTTGACCACGGAGGAATCAATGAGTGGACCAAATCTGGCCAAAAATCGGGGCGAGAGAAGCACCGAGTTTATCGAGGCGAGAAGCTCATCCCCAGGAACGAGGCGGAGACAAGGTCCCACGTCGGGCAGGGCGTCGCCGGCTGAGACGGAAACTGGGGACCCTTTCAGATTGTGGGGACCAGGTTGGCCGCCTCGATGGGTTGGATTGAACAGGGTGGTGACCCCAGGGGGTGACTTGTCCCGTAAACATTTCAACTGTTCTGCCAACTTTCGAACGTTGTTTTTCGAATGGCGTTGAAAAGACCAGGGGCTCAGGGCGGAGCCGGAGAGGAGGATGACGCGGTGAAATAGTTCTGAAGTCAGGGATTAAAAATTGTTATTTATCTAATTAGTTAAGGTCAAGATTGTTATTTTGTACTTATTTCGTATATAAATATGTCCGTTACCTGACGCTACTGGGGCAAGCATAAGAAAATTTGCAATGACGGCACCCGTCCGGTGACCGAGTACAGTGATACGATTAATGTCACCTCCGAAAGCGCCGGCATTTTCACGAATCCTAGACAAGATTCACGCGTACAATTCGTATGATTGATATGAATGACATAACGTTTATGACGTAATAATTTTCTTAATAATTAGTCTCAAGTTACAGAGAGAAAGTTGCGTTGTTCGAAAATTAAGTTGCTTATTTTCTGCTGAATAACTACTCATTCTCCTCAAATGGATCAATTTTCCAATTTATTGCGAGCTATGCAGTCTATAAGGTCACTCAACAACGCAGCAGCAATATTATCCTAATTAATTTAATTTAACTTTCAATTGCGCCTAAATTCTCGGGGGGATTTCAGCTTCGTCCTAAATCATTTGAAGGTTATTCGACTATGTCTCTTGTTGATTCTAATTAATACCTAACCTAACCTAACAATTCAGTAATTATCATGACGATTTATCCAATAACTTACCAGTGTAAGGCTGCCACCACATCCCTGTAAATTCCATCCAATAAAAATTCTCAAACTCCCCCATTAATTAAATATACAAATCAAAAATACTTAACAGTGTTATTCTAAATTCAAACATTAAAATACCATACGTACATCAAAGCGTAGTTTCCTTGTTGGGTCGTGGTTTGCAAAAAACCTGAAAACATTAATAAAAACCAAGTTTCAGACTACTAGAAATTGCACATAACAAACAAAACTCGTCGCGATTGTTGCACGTAACGCGTATGAAAATCACCCATTCTCCTATCCGAGACCCCCAACCTGTTAGTTTCCCTGCAAGCTGTGGAACCACACACCAAACTAACTGCATTTTCCACCACATTTCAATAATTATTGTAAACCCGACTGTGTTCCCAACTACTTGAATCCTGCTTTCCAAATGGGAGGAGAAAGTCGTAATAATTACGTTGCCAGACTTTCATTCATAAATTTGCATAATGGTTCCGTGAAAAACACCCAAACTCCCACCACTTAATCTAATGTTCTTTTCTCCACAAAACTTTGCAATTTTCCTTTCCCCTCCCAATTTTTTGCACGTTGCAAAAATGTAATCAATTTTTTGCTTATTCGTCACCTAAATTTTATAGATTTTTATAGAAAAGGTGATGGTGGAAAAACACGATTCCATTTCCAGATTGTACACACAAAAGTTTGCGGATAAGTGTGGATCTGCGTAATGTTATGACATCATTATAATTCAGTTTGGAGAAAGTTTTCATATTTAAATCGCTTCCTCCATTTCCTTTTACTACGCACACACAACCAGTAGCCGCGGAAGCTGTGTGGGGACATCGGGGGGACATTAACATTGTAGGATAGGGAAGGGAGGGGTTTCTATAACATGGGCATATGATGAGATGATGGGGACATTGAATAACCTCGGCGGGTCATTACCCCACTGTCCCCATCCTCCATTCTGCGGCCACTGCACACAACTACGTATATCTCCCTAATGATCCTGAAAGTCCGATGATGACTACAGCCAAATGCCTGGCTTATACGTCTACCTAGCAAAACAGATAAGTTGTGTAACGGAAGAAATTCCATCGTCTCTTTTAAATCAACCAACTAGTCGTCATCATCATCAGGAAGGAACGGTGAAAGTACGTGGATGAATTTGTTCTCCTCAGACAAATCACCAACCTAAACCACTATCAAAAGAATTGCTACTTTCTCCCCTCAGATATTTCATGCTTTTGCACTTTTAAATCGTCACACTTTATGGGATTGAAATGTCTCTTTAAATTAAAGGATTACCACGCTGGGAGAAAAAAGTGGAGTGAAAGCGGGACCGACCTTTATGGTAATTTTGCAATTTCTATTCATTCATTCATTCCGATAATTTAACCAATTTTGTCTCTTTGTATGGGTAAAAGTGTCAAAGTTGATGCAGTATAATTTTACTGTGTCGTTAACTACGAAATGTTCAAAGGTAAGGGAAGAATCAGCAAGAATTCTTGTAAGTAAACTTAAAATACTTCAGTAAAAAAATGTCATTTTTGGCCGGGGAAACATTACAAATTTCATTTTAGGGTTAGGAAACATTCAAAATTTATTCTTTTTTTGCTTCCCATTCATTAAAACCAATCACTTTTATTATCTATTATCCCATCTTAACGGCGTAATTATGAATCTTCACTCAAATCCCATCTCCTCCTCCTCGGCTTCCTTTAATTGATGACTTTCTCTTAAATTTCACCACCCTCCATAAATCGACAGACGGTCTCCTCAAAATTTATCGTATTCCTTCCTGTCTCTGACACAACGGAGTGTCGAGAAATTCCTTTCAATAATTTGAATAAGTTGATCTGCCATCTGCCATCCAACTTAATACAAGTAAAAGCGAGGACATTGGTTCTTGGTCGTCACTGCTTTCTCCGTCCTCCATTTAAGCAGTGTTTCGGGTGCGAGTAATCACGCAAAAGAAATAACGGGAATAAAGGTGGTGTGGTTTCATGCAGTTATTTTGACCTGCAAAAAATGCAAGAAACTACTTCCCGCCGCTGTAGTTCATATGATGCGTGGCTAGATGGTGCTATTTCTTGCAGTTTATCTCAGTTTCTTGCAGTTTCGGGTGCAATCTGCTGCGAGAGTTGGAATCCATCCCCGATTTACGTTAGCCGAACCAGCCGAACCAGCCGAACCAGCCGAACCAGCCGAACCAGCCGAACCAGCCGAACCAGCCGAACCGCATAATTATTTAATATCAGTTAATTTTATTTTAACGTGAAAGTCAATCAATTTTCCAAATTCCAGACTAAAAATTGAATGATGTTTACGCCAAAATAAATAAATAAATAAGTAAATAATTAAATATTAAATAATTTAGATCACCTTATCCTGGTCGGCTCAGTCGGCTAATGTAAATCGGCGATGGATTCCAACTCTCGCAGCAGAACCAACAGTAACCACTTGCAAAAAATAACGGCAAGGAAGTAGTTTCCTGCAGTTATGTATTTTGGCCTGCAAGAAATACACGGCGCAAAAAACGAATTCCCGCCGCTGTATTTCATATAGCGCGTGGCTAGATGGCACATATTTCTTGCACTTTCTCCCAGTTTCTTGCACCTCGAATTTCTTGCTTTTCTTTGTAGTGCAAGAAATGTAGTAGAAAACCCGCCCGAAAGGAAACCCTGTGTTTAAGGGGTGCTTCTTCTTTATCCGACAAGCTCTCAACTTTTATTAAAAGTTTGTCCTCCACAGCGTAAAACGTCATCCTCTTTCTCCCCTTAAAAGTTGGTCCCTGCTGACTAAATTTAATGTCTCCATGCAATTTGTAACTCTTCACCAATCCAACAACTACTTAACGACGGATTCGATATCTGGGGGAATTCTCGTTAGCCAAGAGTTAGCGGGAGTAGGAGTAGTAATGTAATAAATTTGCAAATCAAATGCTGCTCCTCGATCGTAGAATGTCAAAGTTTACTTTCTCTCTTGCAAAACTTTCACTCCTTTTCAAACCGAGTTATTATTAGATCTTGTTACTGAAAGGAATATTGATCACTATTGCAAAATAATTAGGGTCTATTTCTCCCTGAGGAGAGGAAAACGAGATTTTTCTTGGATCCAGACCCAGTCGGGATTGGATTGAGTTAGGACTCCGCATGAAGCCGGGTTTGGTCCTCGAATTCCAAAATGCTGGATCCGGAGTCGAGGCGGACGAATCCTACAAAACACGAAGTCCGGGTCGGGGTCGAAATCGAGATTCGAGTCGATTTGAACTTGGACTCATGCATAAGAATCTAATAGGCCGGAATCGGATTCACCCGAATCCGGATTCAGTCGGAGTCGAATTCCAAAATTAAGGATTAAGACTTGGAGTCGAGATGGATGAATTAGGAAAAACAGGGAGTCAGAGCCTGACTCGCGCTCGAAATTCGAATCCCAGAGTCGATTCGGACTCGAATTAATAGACTCTAATAGACGAGGATGGACTCGAATCCCAAAATGCTGGATTCAGACTCGTAATCAGGATTAGTGACTCCTTAAAACCTGAGAGTCGGACTCGAAATTCGAATCCCAGCGTGTCGAATTCGAATCGGACTCGGATTCATGCCGAGCACTAGATTAGGTACCCCAGATTCGAAATGTTTGTCACGTTCTTGAGTAAGTAAACTAAATACGCTGGAGGAGAAGGGGTGCATTGTTTTAGTGGATTTTGATATGCAAGAGAGACTTGACAAGGGGGAGACAAGACAACAACACTTGTTTTGTTTTATGGTGGGTTTTATCGCACAAGTCGACATTCAACATGTAACAGTTGTGGGAGACGGAGGGAGGGATTTGCGAGGAGAAAGTTCTCCTACGCGTGGTGGAGAAAGCTGGGATGGAAAGATTAGAATTTCGAAATTACGAGGAAAGAGAGAGATTGAGAGGACAGGATAATTTAAGGCCGTCTAAAACTAATAGGACCACGACATGCATCATGCAGCGTATGTGATGTGGTGGGTGGTCCGCGTCCTGGAGTGATTTGTATTTGAAAATAACACTTTTGACAGGATAAGAGACGAGAACTTGGGTATGTGTGGGACAACTTCGCAAAATAATAGCAATTTGTGTGGGCTTATGAAACATCTCGGGTTTTACGGAGTCTTATCAAATTTTGAAATGGGCTGCATACATATTTACTTTCGTTTTAAAATTTAGAAACTCTTTTCTTCTGGGGTTATACCCTATAATTCAGAGATTATTATCAGAGGGCGGACACATTTATTTTCAACTTTTTCGTTTGATGACGACCGACAATAAAACTTTCCTAATTCGTATAGATCACAAAAATTTCAACATCTACTTCCATAAAGCGTTAGTGTTAAGTCGCTGACTCTGTGATCAAGTTCAAGTTGCCCCGTAGCGGAGACAAAGAAGGAAGCGGAGCAACCACTGCAGGCAAGAATTTTCATACTGCATGAGTCTCACTTCGCCTGCACGTGACTTTCACGTACGTACGCTTGCCATCAATCTCAAATTAAATGCCTTTGTATATAAACACAGTGTGCAAGTAAATTGAGTGAGTGAGCAGTATACATACATCACTCATCAATAGTGGTTATCATATGATAAACACTACTAATTAATTATTTTAGTTTGAGAAACTCCACCCACAGCGAGTGGCAAATCAATTCGAATGTATTTTTGACGCTAAATCCAACGCCGTTAATGGTTTTGACCTCCGAGGCCCCCGTGACCTTCCCGTGACCGTGGGGGGTAAATGTAGCTTATTCGTGATGTCACATATCAATTCGAATTTAAGTAAGAATAAGTAAGAATAAGTAAGAATTTAAGTAATTAGCTATTCAACTACTCCCACAGGGGGAAATCAAATTGTACTGTGACCAGATTAATTAAAATGCAGCATGACTTGGGCAAACCCTCACTCTGATGTATGTATGTGGTATGACAAAGTCTCCACTGGGAATTATTTAAAGTATAGTATGACGGATTTTTCGCTTTGGGCACACCCCCACTGGAACGCTAGAACCCGGCCTTGGCCGGGCTATACGCTAGTGTTTCCATATATTGTTACATATTTCTAGGTTTTCAGACATACAAATATATTTATAAATATTTCAAATATTATTATTTGAAAAATATAAGTATGTTTGAGAGATTTTTTTCAAAAATACGTATATTTTGTAA